ACCTGAATAATAATAATAATAATAATAATGTAGATGGGGTATATCCCCTGTTCAGAGCAGTGTAATGAAACGGCAAAATTTAACAATAATAGTTACTCATGGAGGTGAGCCCTCCTGGAGGAGCCGCCAATTCTGCAGCTGCTCAAGAATTTCCCAGCATTTTATGGAACCCGAAGGTTCATTACCGTGTTCACAAGAGCCCTCCACTGGTCCCTATCCTGAGCCAGATCAATCCAGTCCATACCATCCTTTCTCTCTAAGATCCGTTTTAATATTGTCCACCCACCTACGCCTTGGTCTTCCCAGTGATCGCTTTCCTTCTGGCTTTCCCACCAAGGTCCTATACGCATTCCTCGTCTCCCCCATTCGTGCTACATGCCCTGCCCACCTCATCCTCCTTGAATAATATTAATAAAAAATATTTTTAACTCCCTGATGAACTCAAACAAATATCGCAATTGAGACCGGTCTATATTCGGCCACTGACGGCCTTTACTATAGACATAATCCCTTGAAGTCTTCCCAACAAACTACTCGTAGATAATATAAAACTGAAATACTTTTCACCATCAATACAAAAATCAAGCGATTATTGACATGTAACATACAGCAAGATGTTTCATGAATGCCCTATGATAACTAATAGTTACAGAGAGGACATTCAGCTGAGTCCGTATGAGTATGTTTGTTCATTTTATGTAAAGTATGGTAGCTTCAACGTATTTCAAAACAGAGGGAATTTTAACAAGGAAACTTTGTCAAAACAATTTCCTAACACATGTTTCCATCAGTAAACACACACACATACAGGATGTTTCACGACTTTAGGGCATAACTGCAGGAGGTGATTTCCTAGGTCTTTGTAATCAAAGAAGTTCATATAAACATGTGTCCGATTTTGGACGGTTATGGAGTTATGACCGTTTTACACTCAGAATAGAAGGTAACGATTACTGACAATAAACGGAACAAAATGATAAACCAGCATAATATATGATACATTTAAAGTATGACTGTAAAGTTAACTTCGTGAAATTACCGTTAATTTGAATTTATTGGCGCTTAAAGCTGATTTTCGAAAAAGCCACCGCCGGCCGCAACACAGGCTGCCGCTCGGTTGTAAACCGCGCCGGACATACCAACCCACCCCGCCTTACGTAGCCCTCAAGTGTCGAGATAACGAGAACGCTCTGTCTGTAGCTGGCTAAAGATAGCCACCCGCCAGCTGACAGACGCGGTTCACACGAGGGCGTGTACGGGAAAGAAAAACGGTCATAACTCCGTAACCGTCCAAAATCGGATACATGTTTATATGAACTTTTTTGATCACAAAGACCTAGGAAATCATCTCCTGCAGTTATGCCCTAGAGTCGTGAAACACCCTGTATACCCTATACACTTGATCGTCGACTTACGACCGACTTCCGTTCTGACTGACAGGTCGTATGTCGGCCATATATTTATTAACAGTATTCTTTAACATTTCTAATCTTTTTATCATCTTTATAATTTATTTTTAAAAACTTTTACATTTTAATCATCTTTTATTTTTCATTTTTTTGTGGTCATAATTTGACGACCAAGTGTATATGGTCAAGGCTTAAGAGTTGCAGGTAAGATCCACTGTCCCCTTAACAAGATCCACAGATCTCTGAAGTTTGTAACAGTCACACTGGTCTAGGAGTAATGTTTTAGGTTTGTATTCAGGGGGTGCTTAGCTCAATTTTCAGCCAGGACACCAGCTATCCTGTCTATAGTCTTTGTGGTTTCCCTCAGTGCCTCTGGGAAAATGCTTGGATGGTACTCTGATTATGCTTCAACCACTTCCTTCAAAATCGTCAATAATTCTACAATTTGGACACTCACAGTCTGGATACTGAGAATGACATAAAATAAACCACCACCAAATCAACCATAAGCTCACAGTACACTTCAAATAAATATTACTACACTCATTTTGCTACCATATTCACTAATGTTCTTGAAGCAATGTTTAATTTGAGTCTTAATTAGGGGCTTTTATTTTTTATTGTAGGTCATTTTATATTATGTTTATGTTAATGAAAGTGATATCTTGTATTCTGACTGCAAATTTGGCAAGACACTGACCTGAAAACACTAAATGGGTGAAATACAACACTTACGCTTACAATTTACTTTCAGGTGGTGCATACTGTTCTCGCATCCTGCAGATTTCACCCCTGTCTGCACCACAGAGCTGGGTCGCATTGCTGTTCATGACCATGAGTTTAAGAAGCGAGGAGTCAAGGTTATAGCTCACTCTTGCGACAAACTGAAGTCCCACAGTGATTGGGTTAAGGTGGGTTGATATAACACACTTTTCATTTGTAAAAATGTAAACTGCTATATTATTATTAAGGGGTTCATTAACTTTATCTTTCATGAAAGAGACCAAATCAAACAGGAAATTGTGGGTCTGATTACGATAAAAAGGAAATGCAATACCACTGGAAATTTAACCCATCATGTAGTTGTTCCCAACATCTTAACTTAGATTTATGTTGGATTTTGTCTGCTCAGACAATATGCCATCAGATGAGTCAGATGACATCAAGTTTCAGCCTCTGTGCTGAGAAATTTGTATTTATTAATTCTATCAAATATATTGTCAGGTATTACTCACTAGACAAGGGATTTGGATTGGTATTTGTCTTTACTTAATATTTATAAATCGTAATTACAAGTAATTATAATGCTCTCATTAATTTTACACATTCAATTTCTCACTAATCTTCTGTGTCTTCACTAGCTGTTGCCTGGTAACTGATCCCAACAGTGTCCTCTTCTTACATCCATAACAATTTCCAGCAGTTTCTCTGTTGTTTCGTTCATAACTGTTGCCATAAAAATCAGTTGTACCGAGTTGTTTACCTGTCGTTACCACACAGCGGAATATTTCTTCTGGCTCTTAGATGTCATGTCAATATATATATGCACAGGACATCAAATCATACTGCTTGGACATTCGTGGGGACTTTCCATACCCCATCATAGCAGATGAGACTCGGGAGCTCGCAGTGAGGCTGGACATGATTGATGAGGACAACAAGGACAACGAGGCAGAAGCCATGACTGTTCGTGCACTGTACATCATTGGACCAGACCACAAGCTTAGACTGTCCATGCTGTACCCGGCCTCAACTGGCAGGAATGTTGAGTGAGTTCATTATCATTTTTGCCTCAACATTGTTTAAGCATTAACATAACCTCAAGACCACGTCAATATGCTATGTTGTAATATTTTTCTTCCAGTTATTTCAATTCTGTACCATCACTTCAACTTATGATCTTCTAACAGGTGAACAAATTTGATATTCAAACAACATATAAAAGAGTGTTATTTAGTGTTGGTGTGAAGAACAAAATGAACAAACTGGTAATGAGCACATTCAGGGATTCTGTACCATCACTTCAACTTATGCTCTTTTAACAGGTGAACAAATTTGATATTCAAACAACATATAAAAGAGTGTTATTTAGTGTTGGTGTGAAGAACAAAATGAACAAACTGGTAATGAGCACATTCAGGGTTGGCCCAGCAGCCACATTAGACAGACACAAGTACACTTGGTCCTGAAAGATTATAAAGTTTTAAAATTATATTCCGTGTTTAATATCTAACTTATTTAAACATCCATCTCTAGACATAAATTATTATTACTAAAATAAAACTTGTTATATTGCCCATATTACATCAACGAATGGAAACATACTAACACTGAAAAAAAAAGTGGTGAAAGTGCCGTAAGTGGCAATGATCATGAATTAACGTTGACCCTTACCACATAAGTACAGAATACATTTAATTTTTCCTGACATAAATTTTACTTCTAACAAATATCATAAATTCATCACAGCCTCAGATTATAAAGTTACTGTACAATAAATTAATTAAATTCTCATTTGTTTTGTTTGCAGTGAAATTCTTCGAGTTATTGATTCCCTTCAGCTTACTGATAGGCTGAAAGTCATAGCAACCCCTGCCAACTGGACGGTGAGTGTCTCCAGCTGTAGCTGTCTCTTGTGATTGCACAGTCTGAATGAAGAAGTACGCATATGTGCCTGCATACAATGAGTTGGCTGTTTCTCTGTTCTCAGCCTGGCACGAAAGTGATGATCCTGCCACATGTGAAGGATGAGGACCTACCCAAGTTGTTCCCTAAGGGTGTGGATAAAGTCAGCATGCCTTCAGGGATCACTTATGTGCGAACCACAACCGACTACTGAACCTCCATTATTTCACCTGCATATGGTATTTTGTTTTGCTATTGGGAATATTTGCACTGATAAAGATTTCATAACTAATATTATATACAATGAAATAAACAGCAAAATAAATTTGCAAAGTACTACTTATTTGCTGTAGGCATTTATTCAAGAGATGCATGTTCACCTGATTTAAGTTTGCAATGATTTTCCTGTTTCTTCAGACAAGAGTAGACTATTGGTGGTCTCATTCCTAATTGTTTACCTGCCCACCATTCACAATGAAAAGAAGCTCCAGTACACACTTGATATTAGGCTGGGTGGGCCTCAGAGCCTGTCTGGAATAAACAGTCTTACACTAAATTCTCCCAATATAACTTCCAAACTGGTAAATGAACTGCAAAATATACAATTCTGAAAGGAAGTCAAACAAATATAAAGTAAATAATTTATATGAGAGTTCTGGATCTCTCTTACCACAGACAAAGAATAATAACTAAAGTTTTATCAATTAATCAGAGGAACAGTCTGTAGAAAATTTAATGATATTCAGGAAGAGAACTTTCTTTTATTTTACTGTCTTAGAATCAACACTGCAAAATATATATAATATATATCTGACTCAGCAGGTATCTAGCATGTTAAAATAACAAGAACAGAGAACTGCATTTATGACTCTTACAAGAACAATTCATATGACATTAACACATAAATTAATTACCTGTTGAAGTATGATTCATGAAATAGTGCAACAGTGGGAAAATATCACAGAAAACTGATCAGCAACCTCACTTACAACTTCAATATGATTCCAATCACATGCTTATAAAGAAGAAAATTGTGTCAACCATTTTATGAATGCACTCACTCAGAGACACCTTTAATACTGCCATATTTTATTTCATTTGCAATATTATGATGGAGCTGCAAAAATATTAACTCCAGGCTTAGTGACAATTGTGTTATTAGTTAATGGGAAGGAACAGCTCAGAAATTAGAAAACTTCATCCTTTCCCCCACTCAAAAACCGATTTGTACTTACTCTGGTAAGTACTGCTGTTAATTTATTCAACACATATTTTTCATGTTCAATTTATTCTTAAAACAATACTACAAAAGTAATCTTAAGCCTGGACAACTTGTAGTATCTTCAAACATGAGTCTCTAGCATTTCAAGTCAAGGCTTGAGAGTTGGCACACCATGTATTTGTCACATATATTATACTGTTACTACAAGGAAAAAGAATCTCCATACACTTACGTTTCTATACTCGCAAACTGTGGAACTGTTGCAATATAATGAACTAAGGATTACATACTATATAAGATTGAGAAATTAAGTACATATAGACAGAACATAAAGCAATTTACCAGAAAGTTGTTAAACTGTATTTTCTTGGCACTTTCAATATAATTGAAGGATAAATAATATACAAGGCATGAGAAAATATTCCAGTTCCTACTTGTCAAATGATATTTATTCACTGCCCTCAAATGAGAGAAACGATATTATTGCTGTTGCATGATATTACTAACTTAGAGCCTCTAATCAGTGAAGAAAATGAAATGTTTTTAAACAGTGCCACTGGGATGACTCTGAAGTCAGCTCCCCCAACAAAAAACATTGATGACCGAAACTTAAAAAAAATTAATTTTTAAAGGTACTGCACTGTATACTTAACATAAGTAAATACTTTGAAAATACTGCCAACACATTAACACAAATTTAAAAAGAAATAACTGAAACAAAATCCTTTAATATAAACTACTACTGTAAACTTCCAGTTTTCTCAGGTGAGCAGGCAACTACATTTTTCAAGCTGTTATACATATTGTATCAGATTAATTTTAACAGTGGTATAAGGACAAATAACACCTACCAATTTTATTTTGCCAATGATATATATCTATACTGTCTCTAGTAGAAATAAAATCAACAGTATCAACTTGGAATCAACTATCCCCACTTCTTCTGTAAGTATTTATCACAGAGGGGACTTCTGTGATAATTTGTACAGTGAAATCCCTATTTAATGGGTGTCTGGGAAAATCAGTATTCTTACACTAAATCAGGGTTATGGAAAACTGCAGTTCTTATATTTTTTTCTGTATACAGTAATGGCAAAAATAATTTCCTAACTTAAGTAATTAAAGAAGCTCTTCCTACACAAATAAATACAATTGCTTAATAAATATGGTAAAATTAATTCTTAAAGAATTAATGAAACATGAAGTAAACAGTGGAAAACCCTATGTTCAGAATCACGGGAACTGATACCCCAAACAACATGACTTTGATGTGTGTTCAAACTGTGATATCACCCATTAAAATCACGTTAGGCAGTAAGAATTTCCAGCAGATATAAAACATGAACATTCATTGTTGTTTCAACCACAATCACACTAAATCAAGATAGAAAGTCCTGAAAGGTACAAAATTTCCTTACATTAAATGGAGGTTATTTACCAATATCGGAAAATATAATATGTATATTTTGCATTAGGTGGGACCAGAAAAAAAAATATTCACTAAATGTGGGATATCACTAAATGCAGGAACACTAAATTTGGATTTCACTGTATTTATTCCAACTTTAACCTAAGAAAAGCTGTTTTTATAAGGTAAGGTAAAGTTGTCCCTGTGCTTAACTAATTAAGCACTATGCCATGAAGATGTATGGGGAAGTGGATATATAGATCCACATTTTCTTGACCTTGGCACTAGCTGGAGTTGAGTGGTCAGCTTCAAGCACCGGCCGCTTTGACCCCGGGGAAAAAGTCCATGGTACACATTGGGTAGGAGGTTGGGTGCACCTCAGAGCCGGTCTGGATAACATGGAGAAGGGAAAATTCTTGACCCTACTGGGACTCAAACTCTGACCCCTCAGTCGTCCAGCCTGTAGCCAGTCACTATACTGACTACGCTATCCCTGTTCATATAAAAATGAGATAATATCATTGGTTATAAAACTACATCACTCCTTCAATTCCTACATTATCTTTCCTTGTTATTCTACTTGTTAGCACATGAAACAATTCTCTCTCTTGTTTACAGATCATGTAAAAAGGATCGTGCATATTGAAAACTTTACAAGCTTTAAATTTTTATTGTAAAAAGGTTTATAATTACAGTTTATTACTATATAAAACATGTAGTCAGTGCATCATTTTAACATTTAAAGTCTTAATAAAACAAATTACAACATATATGTTTTTATGCAATCAAATGTAAAAGGACATGTAAAGCAAATTTAAAATTTATGTGAATTTATGAAAAGAAATGTTGATGGCAAGATGTATTTTATGACCTTGTAAACTGTGGTTGAATTAAAACTAACTGCAGGGACACACAAGAACTGGATTTGCTACTAATACTATATTATTTTAAATGTGATGTTCGTTTTCAAGTCTGTATGTGTGTTCTGTATGCCATACTTATCAAAATATGAAAATGCCTAAAACATTTATAATTAGGCTGTGATCCAAACTATGGAAAAATTTCAAACAAGTTAAATATGAGCATTTAATACAATATCTCAGCATATAAAATGTAGCATTCTATGCAAAAGTAATTATTGGTTCTTATGTCTTGTTTCTGAATCATATAAAAGTGAGAAAAATGCATAAATATCTTCAATCTTGAATTTAAGAGTTCTGACCAAGGGTCTACAACATTTTGCAGGATACTGAATTATGTGACGGTTGATTAGTACCAGTCTGAAAATATTCACTTAATAATATGTGAATGTTTGTTGAAATACTGAGTTCCATGAATAGGCACAATGTAATAGTTACAGTATAATCTCTGCCTCACTGACTGCATGAAATGCATTTTACATTTTCAGCTTAAACTATGTACTTTCTGAAAATGTTTTAAATATAGTGAAGTTAATTCCTAATCAATGTGGTACTGTTGTTCTTGCTACAAACTCCATCATGAGTAATTACTTTCATTTTGCCTATGTTACATGTGCATACAACATGAGGTATGTCCATTGCACATGTCCATTTTATCTCATTTTTAAAAATTAAAACTTGGATTGTAATCTTACTGTCAATGGAATAATTGCCTCCAGAAGACTAAATCTGCATATTACAACACAATATTGTAATTGCAAGACTTGTAAATCTTACACCAAGAAGGTTGATTGTTCAATCCTGAATGAGATTTAATCTCCAACTTTTACAATTTCCCGATAAAGCAGGGTGGCCACCAATTACAGTATTCTATATCTACATAATAAAGGCTCATTTGAAGTATAAGAGATTATCCTGAAACTTTTGAAGGGTATGCATCATTGGACAATCCTGCAACATGGCAAGTGATCATCTCAACCAACGGCAAAACCTATGAGTAGGCAGGAGGCTGTCCCAATTTGTTAGTGCCCCTCAGTATATAATGTTAAACATTTTTTTTTACAAAACTTCTTTATATAAAATATGTAGAAGCATTACTAAACCTGGCCAAAATTTAAACTTTGTCCAGTTTCTAACACTTGTAAATTGTGATCAACAAAAGTCAGGAGACTTTAAAGGATATCTTATTAATGTGTTTATCTGAAGTAAAAGACATTTTTCTCCCCACAAATCTGAAAGTAGTTGTAATGAGCATTAAAATAATTTGGCATTGCCTACATTGCTTGTGAGTTCCTAAGCAATCAGTAAAAACAGGCAAGTTCTAAAGGGTTCTGATGATGGTGTATAATACTCAGAATTCATGGGTTTTTGGCTTTTTCCATTGTCCAGTATTCTGGAGACTAGGAAACACAATGTTTCAGAAACTGGATCTGTTTTCATCCTCAGGTGAGTGGGGGAGACACCTACTCAGTTGGGTCCCTTAGAAAGAGCTAACCTGAGGACAGAAACAGATCCAGTTTCAAAAATGTCATGTTTTCTAGTCTCCAGAATACCGCACAATGGAAACAGTCCAAAAACCGAGTAATTCTGCATTGAAACAGGTCTCTCTTAATTCTGATTTAATTTCTAGTTACCACAAATGCACTTCCAAAAATGGACTAAAATAACTGATATAGCTGCTTACAATTGAAAATTACAAATGACAAATATGGCAATTATTTTACAATGAGGAAGACAACATTTATGACTAACTACAGCACAGTACTGTCACACTTCTGTAATTTGTGAATACTAAGAATATACACAAAGACTGGGCATTCCTGACAATTCTAAATATCATTGACAATTTATGTATTTCCTAATTACAAAGAAGTGGGAAAGGGCAGATGTGTGAAGTTTTCTATTGCATTCATTATATACAAGTAATAACAATTTACAGATTTAAAATAAATAATGTACTCCAATAATAATTATGACTATTACAATTATTATTTAATTCAGATATTTATATACTTAAAAATTATGTTTCTGATAATGTATCCAAACCTACTTCAGTGGGGAATGTAATGGTTATTAAAACATTTTCATGGAAATCAGTAAAATATCGAATTTAATGCATCAAGAGCAAGTTCATGTCTCAGAACATAAAATAGAAGGGAAGACAAAGCCTTTACGCAGAAGAAAGATAACAAAATGCATTGGGACATAAGATTAAATCTAGGAAAAAAGACTGTAAAGATGAACACATTAAGAGTTTGTCTCAGTGGTGCCAGTACTTAACCTTTTAATTGCTACATACAATTACAGTAGCACTATATGAGAATGTCCATATTGCTAAGCGCTACTGTAGTAGCACTGAGGCATATACTTCTTCGTCAACCAATTTCACCTTTCTTATTGGCCGATTTAAGTCAGTTGTGTGCTAGCAGATGAAATATCACGCAATGCCATGTATGGAAGAACTGAAGAAACTTTTAAGTCATAAAATAGCCAAAAGATTTAAGTTAAAAAAATGAAAATGGTAGGAAAAATGCAGCTGGGCTGGCCTAGCACATAAGAAACATGTCAGTTAAACGGTTAATCAAGAATATGTTCACTGTACACTGATATCAGTATATAAACACTGATAATGACTGGAATAACAACTTGCCGTCTATTCTATCACGTTGGCACATATTGCAAAAGTGGACATTAGAACTTGGTAACAATGGCCGCAAGCTAAGATGCTACTACATATTAACATATTAGTGTAAAACAAAGCATACCATGTTAATATAATCGGTCAGAGAGGGAAAAATTACTGCATTCCAATGGAAGACAAGAAAATTATATCTTGAAGATAAGAAATGCAAATTAAATTCAAGTTACAAACAATAAAACACGTGTTGATTAACACTATAGGTACACATACATTCATTCAGTCTGAATTATGAGATGAAAACAGAAGTTACATTAAGAATAAAATATGATATGATAATGATGAAAACATGTTTCTGACTGTTCAGCAGTTCAAGCAATATATACATCTTATTAAGGAAATCAACCATATAAGATATTCAAACATAAATTTCAATATGTTCAAAGAGTAGGAAGATCATTTTTGGGAAGAAAAAAAATAATTGCATAATTAACATTTTAAAAACTGGCAAACTTAAGTATATCATTAATAGCACTTCTGCAAACCTGACCATCACAACCAAGTTCTAATGCAAATTTTTATAATATTAAATTGGACAATGACACAGTTTTCATGTTGTTTAACTAGACTAATCAGATGTACATTAAACATTTGAAAATATGAGAGAGTAGTATGTAGGAAAAGTACTTACTCCATTTCACTTTATACCAATAGAGTGAACAAATATGAACCAAAGAACACAGAAGGTAATCATGTGCTTCAGATGGTACCATAAATGGCACCTCTTATTAGAGCAGAACTACATAAAACAGTGTCAGGAATTAAAGTGACACAAATGATCACAGTATACTACTGCTGGTTAAAATCATTCCCACTCTATGCAGAAGCAGAGGCCAATTGTAAGTTTAACTCTTGGTGAAGACAATCTGTGCCATATATATTGTTATTATGTTTCAGTTCAATACCAAAGTATGCAATATCAGGCTACTTGTATATACGATGACAAACACGTACCCACAAAACACTAAAAATGAACACAGATTGTCATACTTCCTCGGCAGAGCATTTAGCAATATCATAAAACAAACACAATGTTTTTGTAGTAATAAAACATTGCCTCAAGTTTTTACATATGTACTAGATTGTTTTACCTATATATATTTATACTGAAGTCTCAGCTGCATTCAAACCATTTGCTTTTCTATTTGCAGTACCAAAATCAATGGTGTGACATGAATCAATCTGTAACAGAAAACATTTGTTCAATTACTTTCAAATCAATTTATGCTGAACAATGGTAGGCCAGGAGAAGCAGAAAGGGACATTAAAAATTGTGGTTCAAGTTAACATTTCAAAAAACATCTTCAGTGTTTACTAGAGAAACAACTAGGAAACATTTGCAAATGTGGTGTATAACATAAAATGTTTTGACAAAATGAACTGATGCTTGAATTATTCCATAATGATTCTCCAACTGCAGAACGTTAGTGTCAAATAATATGAGAAAATGATCACAAATGGTAAGTAAATGAGTAACTAAGGACTTGAAACTGGTGGTCAAAACCTACTTGAAGGCACTATCCTATCATTCACCTAGAGGAACTGGCATAATTGAAGGTGAAGATGGTAAAATGTTTCTATACTGTGAAGGGAAAGTAAGAGACCAATAGTTAATTTAATATGAGAATATAAAACTTTCTTTTTTCATTTGATAGTTAGAGAAGGACAAATCCACTGGTATACTAAGATAATTAAAGATTAATTAATTACTTAATCTACTCATTTTGATTATGTTACTGTACCTACTTTGAGAGCTGTGCAGTATAACTGGATGAAAATGAAGACACTAATTTACTAGACAGATCTAAATTCCAGTAACATTGTTTTGTGAATACTTTGATGAGTTCATGCTGAAATCTTCAAATTTATTTTGTACAGGTATGCTGAATATCCAAAAATTCAAATTGTATGCAGCTTGCTTAACAAGACAGCTGTACTATAGATCAGAAAGAGCACAATTTGCAAAACTTTCACTTTAATAAGGACTGAGAGAAGCGAAAATAGCCAAAAACTGGTAAAACATGTCCCACTGGTGGTACTTGAGAGTTGGCAGAGTGGGGCATGAGGTCTTGAAAATAATGATTCATTCACTCACAGAAAAGTCATTTACATAAAAACTTTCCCGCCTTTTAAGAGCAAGTTTCTTATTAATGCAGCACTATAATCATATTTCTAATAATAAAACTATATTCTTTTACATAATTATATTGTAACGTGTTTCGTTACTGAAGACGCCGTAGAGATGGTTAATTGGTTTATTTAACAATCTACAAATAACGGCTACAATTAATTATCACAATATTACGGGTTTCCACACTTTACAAACCCTACAACAAAATCTCTTAACACGATCTTCACTTGTCTTCACGTACTAATAACGCGGGAGTTATACAAGTCTCCCTGAATTACACACTCCAGATATAACTGGTTATCCTGAACTATCACTGATTCTCGCACATGCGTCTGTAGCTCGTAACTTGCGAACTGAGAACTCGTTGATAACGCACTGACTCTCGCTTGCTGCTCAGCCGGCTTTTATTCCGTTCGCTGTTGCTAGTGTGATGTGGCGTATAGCCTAGGACGCTGTTACCCCTTGGTGACGTCACCGCTGTTGACTAGCTTTGCATAGCTTCAAGGTTGCGGGGACTCTGCTATCTTCGGCTCCGCTCGTGACGTCACCGCGGGGGGAGTTGCGGGGTGATGACTTGCCTATTACGCGAGCGCTACGTTACTGCTACGTGCCGCTGGGGAGGTAGGGGTCAACATGTCACAATATTAATCAATCTGTATCTTGAATAAATTCAAGTCCACAGTGTGAATTATTAAGATTATTTCTTATAACTGACCACGTACAACACATTGCAACCATCGCAACAATTTATTTGTAAATTCAGTAGCACATGCATTCCAATTTGTCAGCCTTCTTCAGCACTTTGGAAGCAATGATGGTGGCCGACAAGCCAAAACATATCTGTTTGTGAATTTATAAATAAATTGTAAGATTCGAGGTTTTCACAGCGGTGACTATGAAGAATTCCAGAAGATGGCATTCTTCTTATAAATAAATTGTTTTGATAAGTATAGATAATAAATTACAAGAAATAGCCTTGAAAATATATTCTCAAAAACTTTTACATTCATTAAGTTCTTAACCTCAATTAATGATTATTTCATATTACAATGTGCACAGACTTCTTGGAGCAAGAGATGCTCTGTTTATACTAATTGTAGAACTAAACTTTTTGACAAAATGACCAGTGGGATGCTAGGTACAAAAGCTTCAGAATCAATGACCTAAGGTTTAGAAATTCTGACTGTGAAAATAATACAAAGAGTAAACACAGACATTTGTTCTAGCTTTGTTTTCTTTTTTAAAACATGGTACCCCTACTACTGACTTGTTGGGCATAATATAACTCAAAGGTTGGCAAGCTACGACCCATGTGCCACCATGTAGTTCGCCTACACAAATTTATATTCATTTGCTATATCTACAGCTGGGTATGGGAGGAGCAAATGAGCTCCCCCCCCCCACCAAATGAACAGAAGCACCAATCAGAGCTGGATATCTATTTGAATAAATCATTATTAATTTTCTTGTTTAATATTTTATGTTCAGTGAGTGTGAAGAATTAATTTTAACAGTCTGTGAAGGACAGAATTTCTGACCCTGTCACTTAAAAAGAGACCCCATGTGGGTGACTAAAAAGAAATCTTCCAGCCCTACTGTGGCTTGACTAAATACACTATTCCCTATTGTCTTCAGGGTCCTCACAAAAGCCAAAATGTAGGAAATCTTTAGTAAACAAGAAGGAAAAGAGAAAGGAAGATGTATATTGTCAATGTAAAGGGAAACATGACAATATATAGGGGAGCTGGAGACACAGACAAGGGAAGAGAGTGTTAACAGCTTTATAGAATAATGCCCTTAAAAGAAGGATACCTTCATGTAATGACAGCAGTGAGATAACAAAAATTAAAAGCTAAGTCAAAGTTAACTCTCTGCCCGGGCACCACTTAGTGCATTAGTATAGGGAACATGGAGATCAAATTNCAGTCGCGCAACATGTTACAGTATTCTAGATAATGAATTTAATGAATGCCAAAGGTAATATAAAAATTGCATAAGATGATATGAAAACAAAAATAGTCTGATTCTGCAGCAGGGCTAGATTTACAGCTGTGGAGTCCTGGGTGGAATGAAAACGTGGAGGCCTCTGCCAGTAACAATAAATTCAGGTTATTACAATTATTTTGTTGCTGATGTTGTTTCCTTATAGTAATTAAACATACAAACTCTTCGTGATATTACAGAAGCAAATGTCTCAATAAAATCCATGAATTTTATTTATGTTTTGTAGGAGACCCATGGCAACTTCCCCAGTTTCTTCTGCTACTGTTTGGTAGTACAGAAAAAGAAAACAATACAAAGAATAAAGGTATATAAATGTGAGATTTAATGTGATGATAATATCATCTGAAGAAAAATTTGGAAGAAAAAAAAACAGTCTGGATGAAAATTATATTACTAAAATGTATGAAATATCTTGAACTTCCACAAATTAAAACAATCTCTTTGTGTTATTTTGATGAGACTGTTCTTGGCTGGTGTTCTGTCTCTCTTTTCTTACAGTATTCTTGTATATAACCTTATTTTAAGCTAACATATGTTAAGAATTATACCTGGTTATGGATTAGAATTAACAAGTACATATGATACTAGTATTATTGACCCAGAAGAAGTATAGATGGTGGGTACTGAAGAGTAAAATATTATCTTTGGATTAATGGATGCAGGAACATACACTCTTCCTAATTACAGCCATAAAAACACCATCAATTTCTAGACTGGTTTCCAAATGGAAAATTGGATTGTATGATGGTGTAGTGTGTCTGTATAAGTGTGTATTTTTACTTATTAGCTTCTGGAAAATTTAGTTAATTATTGGAAACCTGAAAGGTCATTCTATCTGAGATCACTCACAATATTCTTGGTTTAATTTCCTTCTTTAAGTATATCCATGTAATTTTCTAAATGGGTAATAATGTTCAAGGAAGGAACTTTGAAACATGGAAGCAAGTGGTTATATTTTATTTGATGATGATGATGATGATAACGATAATGCTTATACACATATCTCTGATTTTAATATGAACTTTCAATTTTGGGAGGGGGTGATGTTGAATATCACTGATATGACAATAGCAGGAACGCATGAGACTAGATTTTCAAAAGCTGCAAAAAAACCAGACCCAATCTACATTTCCAGAATGGTATTCCTATCTACTACAGCATTCCATAATTTAAAATAAAAGCATTCCATCTTAATTATGCACACATCTACAAAATAATATTCAAAGTATATACAAAATGAGATTTATAATATCAATTTCAAACTATATTGGACAGCAATACAAGGAAACAGAAATGATATCACTGATTTCAGAATTTGTGGCAGGCATATTTTAATGTTATTCTTCTTATGAACAGAAAAAACAGTCAGGAAACATACAATAACAGGAGATATACAGATAAGAAACCATATTTGAGATCATATTGGTGGATGTAAGTGATTTTGGGTTGAAATGGTAACCAATAGTTGTCTGAAGAAATGCTTATTTACTACCACCTAGAGCAATTAATAGAAAAAAGAGATAGTGTCATTTATTAAACAGACTTTAATAAATGAATAATGGCAAATTCAAGATGTCTGAGTGTAAATACTAATTCTTTGATAATATGTTCAATACACTTAATCAATTTTTCTGGCTTATATGGGGGCTGAAAATACAAATAATGTCAAGTAACTCTAGGTGGAAGGTTCATAAAGATAGATGAGACACAATTCAAGTGGCTCAAGAGAAGGTCCACTGACATGTTCTTATGAACATGGTAATGATCCTTGATTTCTGTAAGATGCAGGAAATTTCTTAACTTCATAGAAAGATATCTGCTCCATGCAGTTAGAGATACAGTGTGATACAGGATTATTAAAGTTAATTTATACACAAAACACAGAGATTATTACTGCATATTTATGAGAAAGAAAGGGCTGGAAAAGTACAGGGACCACTTTCATGGGTACATTAACCTCATACTCAAGTCAAAAGTCTACAATTAGTAAAGGACAAGACATCATGTTAGTTTTTATTTCCTGATTTTTGAGTATTCATAATTTACTAGGGTAAGTAACTTACATATCTGGAATATTTAGCTTTCTGCTACATGCATGCTCATGTCTGATGCTCTGTATAACCAATAGCGAGCTGGTTAACTTCTCTGCACATGCATAGAAGCCAGAGCATGCTGGAGCAAGCTACCGTAGTATCACAGCCTACTTACAAACTGTGTATTTCACGTTGTCTTGAGAAGATCAATATGGTACAGTAGATTAGACCTTGGAATCTGAAGTGCCTATCCCCACCTTTATAGTTAAGCCTTCTTCTTCTTCCTCTTCTGCCATTGTTGAAAGTCTTGTCTTCTCATCGTCACTTACAGCATCCTTTTTATTCCCTCGCTTCTTGGATTTTGAACTGTCAAGATGATTGCAGAAAATATCAAGTTACATTTTAAATGAATAATTATATGAACAATCAAAAAGTATATATAATGTAAGCTCTAAAAATTTGTGATGATGGTATAGCAATAAAATTATTGACTTTCTAGACATTATATATTGTCATGATTTTTATTTAAGAACAATGTTTCGGAGACTGGACTCTGTCTTCATCCTCAGGTAAAAGCTTACTCAGTCATGCCCCATCTCTGGGCTTTTCTTTTATTTACATTTTACAGAAGCCAACACTAAAGAAACAAATTCTAAACAAAAAAATATTGTAAAATCAATAACAGGACATAGTCTATGGACTTATACGCTCAAGTGCCAAAAGTCGTGGGATAGCAGTATGTAAATTTATTTTTAAATGGCGCCACCGTCCCTTGACGGCTTGGGAATGCCCAGAGCAGTATCAGTTGTGAGGTGTTCTCTCATGAGTCAGGTTGAACACCGGCCAGTCTGCTCATGGCAAGCTGACGTGAATTATTAGAGTTTGAACGGGGCATGATAGTGGGTGCCATTCATTTGTGCGGTCATTCAACATTCCTCGATCCACAGTGTCATGTGTGTACCGGGACTACCTTGTGGAAGGCATTTCCACCCACCACATTCAATGCAGGAGGTACCAGACACATATCCAGCAGGTCAATGCAGAAGACCGATCAGAGTGCATCTGTTAACACCACGACACTGGACACAGCACCTCACCTGGGCTTGTGATGTGGCTAATTGGACCCTGGAGGATGGGCAACATGTGGCGTGGTCTGATGAGTCATGGTACCAGTTGTTTCGGGTGGATGGTAGGGTTCAGGTGTGGTGCAGACCCCATGAGGCCATGGACCCCAGGTGTCAACAAGGCACCATGCAGGCTGGTGGTGGTTCCATACTGGTGTGGGGTGTTCATGTGGCATGAGTTGGGTCCGCTTGTCCACCTAAACATGTCATTGACTGGTGACCGCTACATTACACTGCTTGGTGACCATTTGCAGCCCTTCATGGACTTCATGTACCCCCACAATGATGGGATATTCCAGCAGGACAATGCACCGTGTCATCAGGCCGGAGTTGTCCAGAATCGGTTCAAGGAGCATTCTGGAGAGTTCCGACAAATGGTGTGGCCACCACGTTCGCCCGACATGAACCCAATTGAGCATTTATGGAACGTGGTGGAGAGGTGCATTCACACCCAAAATACCAGGGAGCTGTGGGCGGCTATCCAGATGGCATGGCTCAATGTCTCTCCAGAGGTCTTCCGTCCACGTGTGGAATCAATGCCACGTCGAGTTGCTGCACTTTGCCACGCTAGAGGGGGTCCAACACGATACTGGGTACCTATCCCATGACTTTTGGCACTTCAGTGTACACTCAGTGATAAGACAAAGATAGATATACATACAGATACAACAAGTATTGAAGGTTAAAACTGCAACAGATGAAAAATTATATATACCAAGTAGGACTAAAAAAAAAGCAAAGGGGTCATCTCCCATTTGGATAAATAAAATATTATATTTCTCTAAAATAAATTAAGCAAAGTGCCTTAAAATTTGTCTTCCAAATTTTGATTCTGAAATATGCTAAGAATAATGTTTGGATCTCAGACAGAGAGAAAGTAATATGACAGAAACATTTACACAATGAGAAGGTTCCTAACTTGTGCTCTTCTCTAAATCTTATTACACTATCAAATCTGGGAAAATACACTGAGCAGTGCATGTATGAGCATGCAGCTGAGATATGAGAAATGCATGAAGAAATGTTGGTTCTAAAACCTGATACCTATTTTTGTTAGGACTCTTTTTCTTCTTGCCATCTTTGTAAGCACAGCTGCCCTCATTAACTTGTTTCCATATACCAGTCTTGTTAACCTCTTCAGAAATATTAATTGAAGCAAGAGGAATTTTCATAATGTTGCCATTGGCAAGTGGAATTTGCAGGTTTCCAGTTGTATCAATGTCAGCCTTACCTTCCTATAAAAATAAAAGTAACACTTTCCTCAATACAGAAAAGTGAATCACATCTTCAGCTTAAAAACTGATTACTCCCTGTGTTATGGATATTCAGGGTATACAATTTCAACCATACTGAAATAACGCAACATGACCTTAAAATTCATGATACAGACCATGGAAATTTATTATAATATCAGTGCATTTTAAATACAAAACAACAATAAATTCACAGATTACCATTTCTTAACACATTACTATTTAAGTTAGGATCTCCTATGCACATCTGTCAGTGACAGCAGGATATGTGGCCACCCACTGGCTAATCAGTAACAATGGGGGATGCCCGTACCATGATTCCTATCATCATTTAATTCTAGATTATATAGTACAATACCCTTATTCAATGCATCTGGAAACAGGAATATTTGAAGTTTATTTTTGTGTACCTATCATTATTTCTGATAGGTAAAATGGTATGTCTTCATTACAACTTTGGAATAAAAGAATTTCCATAGCAATGTATTTCCACTCGTAAAAAATTAGTCACTTGAAGAACTGTGTTATGAAATTTCATGATGCAGGAAATTTTACGAGAACACAGCCCTTTCCTAAAATGGAGGTTCACTGTGTATGAAAGGAAGGAAAACAATTATCATAGTTAAAATAACCTCCACAAACTTTCGTTTTATCATAATTTTATTGTATTTTTACACCTTGTATTATTATAGTGTAACATAGTTGTCAAGTATCCAGCTCTACTGTCACACTGAAATGCAGTTCAATAGTGAGTGAGTGCAGTAACCTTGTATTTGCCTGATGATGGCTTTAAAAGCTGAAACATGTAGCTAAGGTGATGTTGACCTAGACTGTTTCATTGTTGTGTTACGACAGATCTCAATAAGGAACTTTTTTAAAGAATCTCCACAAAAACGTTATTGAAGTTGTAAAAATCTACCAAAAAGAATGGAGAGGGGTAGTCCAGTGGAGTTCATATATCTTCCAAATATATTCTTTGTAACTGTGCATATATATATCACTTGCCCTGGTGTTCATTTATTGCCAGTACAGATCAACTATTGCAAACCAAATCACACAGCAGATATCAAATGGCATAGAGTCAGAAACTGTTTTCTCTAGTATCTGACTAAATGCTCACAACATCAAAATTTCCTTCAAATGAAAGTTGTAGATTTTGTTAGGGCTGTATATCATGCACCAATCTTTTATAAAACGAGACATTCTTTTTGGAAATCACTAAGTCTGATTTGAGTATCAAGTGATGTATGAGCTATATCTGACAGATAAAAATTAAAATTCTCCTAATAATTTTAGTGCAGACAGATGAATATGATCTCCCTCTATGCTTTCACTTCATGCAATTTATGAATATAGCATAGAAGTGTAAGGCTGAAAGGAACAAAAGCAAGGAAATAAGAGTTCCTTTGGGTTGAATAATATGGTAGAAACATTACGAACAGTGAACTGGAAGTGAGCTATGGCAGGAAGTGGTTAAGGCTTACTTTAAGACATAATCTTGAAAACCAATTCCTTCCGAAAGCATGTACGTCTTACAAACCCACTCAGTCATCACAGTGTAACAATTAATCTGATGCTCTGATTTATAAATGAAGGTGACTCACACATTTATTAAATGCTATTTTGACTGTTTTACTTATCTTAATTCTATAAATTAAGATATAAAAGGCAAAAGTCTCACCTCTCCCTCCAACTGTCTTCTCTCCTCTTCGGTACGCTTGGTTGTTTCAGGCATGATGTCATCAAGAATTTTGAGTTCTCGCCGTGAAAATACGAAGTCCAGGGATTTGCGAATACCAATCATCACAACCAACTGGAAAAGTCACTGAACTCAGTCCAGTTTCCACAGTATTATAGGTTCATACTGAAGTGCATCACAAAGCTGTGCTAAAAATGTACTTGGATTTTTTCTTTACCTCGTTTTGGTTAAAGAAACACAGTGGTTTGGGAGTTGGCTCTACAGCCATCATCACATAAAAGTACAGAATATCTGCTGAGCCCATTAGTTGCAGGACAGAGATCAGCTCCATCTAGTTGTCCCAACAGAGCAGGTTCTGTACGTCTACTTGATGACAGAACCAGAGTCAGTTTCCAAAATAGTTCTTTTTTAACACAAATGAGGCCACAAAAGGCCCAATACACATTAGTTTAATACCACAGGAATTTATCCAGAATCAACACAAATCATCTAACCACTTCTTTTCCCTAATACAAGGAATATATTGAACATATTATATGGATTTAATTGACAAACTGTATTTCATACTACATATTTCCATCTACCATGCAACTTATTATTGTCCCCTTTTCTTCTCACATGTTTCGTCCATACACGGCCATCATCAGGTGTCCCTTAATTTGTTAAAATTGTTGCACTGCATATTATGCTTAACTTCTCATATCACATGTTATACGATATCACTTAACTTAAAATAAATGAACTTTAATTAAAATCAATAAAAATAGTATCACATGTTATGCGATATCACTTAACTTAAAATAAATGAACTTTAATTAAAATCAATAAAAATAGTTAAAATGTCAATATTTTGCTTGGGGTCATTGTCCATTTATCCAAACGACATTGTTTAAGGTCTCCTTGCTTGGATTTACTTGCGCAGTGGCTGGAAATATATTGTATGAAATAAAAGATATAGTAATGCAACAGGATGTTTAAATACAATATTGAGAAACTGTAACTTTTAATTTAATGGTTAAATCATATTAAACATACTGGAATGAATAAGACCAGATTCTTACGAGTCTCTCATCTTACAATAGCACTTTTTTCATTTATTATTTAACAATGCTAGCAGTATTAAGTCTATATACATAGCATTGATAGAGTAGTATCGTATTATAAATACATACCATTAGAGGGAACAGAATGGAGGTTGTGCTGAAGGACTTGATGACCCAGAGAATCACCAGACAGGCCAGCTGGATGAGTGTAAATATGTGTACACGTTTCAAGGGCACCTGAAACATTTTTGTTGTTTCGTCAGATATCTCGATTGTTTTATTGTAAGTTGAATATAGTGAAAGCCGCATTAAATGTCACTCAGTTTTAAGGTTTCCCCTCATTTAACATATAATTTTAATGATCCGAAGCCAATAAACTCAGGCATTAAATTACTCACATTTAAGATTTTCCTCAGTTTAGTGTTCAAATCCACTGGTCTCCAAAGAAGCCTTATTTAGGGGCTTCAGTGTAACAATTTTGTTTCAAAGAGTTATGTCTTCTGGGATATAACATAGTGAAGTCCATTGGAAGGCATGAAAAATCACCATGTTCTTTCGACATGTCAGTCGAATTTCAACGGACTACATGGCGTTGTATCGCAAAATAAAAACAGAATTCTTCATAACCACTGCTGTGAAAGCCTTAAAATCTACAAGTTTGTTTGTAACTAGAATAAATAATTTCATACAAAGATGAGACAGAGATTCACTACATCTCATTACATCAATATTTCTGTTTCTGCTTATGCATTTCCCCTGAATACAATTATTGTACACAGTCTTAACCAAATATAAAGAGTACAATTCTGGTCATTATGTGGCATCTTCATGCTTACACTGTACAAGATTCCCAGTAGCCTGCCAAGAAAGAACTTCCACATGCAATGAATATAGTTATTTGTTTCTAGTTGGTTCTGAAATTACAGAAGAATCTACTGACTTAATCTTAAGTGTTCTGCTGAAACACTGGTAACCATCTATGAGTCTACAAGGTGGCATAATCCACAAGACCCAAATGCAGAAAAATAATACTACCAGTAGGCTTGCCTACTGCAAGAAATGTCGAGTACATCATGACATGATGCTGTCCATGACCTATACACTGGACGTACATAACATACTTTGTGCTGGGCAACTAATTCTAGCCATTTCAACACTGCTTACCTGTCGAAGGAACATGTGGTCAGGTTGATATTTCACAGGCATAAATATAATGAGAAGGCGATCAAAGAACTGCAGCCCTTTCAAAGATGCCACACCCATATACAGGAATACTCCAAACAGAACAGGCATGGGGATGTGGCCCAGCACTGGGGTCAGCACTACAGACAACCCTATCATCAAGAAGATCAGGATGTGTGTGACGCGTTGCTCCCTGCAGCATATTATACACTGCACTTTAGTATTGTTTATTTGGAAAACTCCGATCCTGAACATTCACATATCTGTTCCAGTGATTTTGATGATACATCAGTATATATAACATACTTACCAAGATAGAAAGGTTGTGTAGAACTGATGGGGTGCCAGACATAAGTGAGATCATAAGCCTTGGTTTCATGATCTGGATGTTTGAGAGGTGGGATAAGAGTATTATGTTATACAGTGCAACCCTGATATTATGAGAATTTATAAAATCCATAAAGATGCTTCTTAAGATCCAAAAGCAACTGAAATAATGCAACTACATGAGGGAAGCACAATGTAGTATAGTTGGTTGAGGCATTATGCTACAAGCCGGGAGGTCACGGGTACGATTCCCGATTTGGTAATAGGACTTTTTAATTGGCCTAATCTTTCCGGCCCGGGGATCGACTTAGTCTCTAACCGAAATGAGTATCAGAAATTTTCCTGGGGGTAAATGGCGACCAGTACATAAGGCTGACAACCTCACCGCCATCTGTGAGCTGAATGTCTTGAAAATGTGGGAGCCTCAACATATCACAACCTTATGGGCCTTCATGGCCTGTTACAGGGATACCTTTACTTTTACTTATAATAACTTCCATGTAAATTACATACCTGACACCCAGAAACTGGGGTTTCTCTCCAGGAGCTGCGCATTCTGATTCTAGTTTCAGTGAATTTACATGATTGATTGATAAAACAGTAGCAGCCACAAACCAAGGGAGGCCCATTACTGAGCATATTATGATCAGTATGCCAAGGACAAACAGGTCCAGATGATAACCACAGCCTTTCTGTAATGCATAAGAATAATCATACAGGTACAATATGCACTGGGGCAATGTTTGTACACATGACTCAATACTTTGTAAATGGTTATGAATAGATCTGACAGATCATAAGTTTAGTGTGTAATTCTGTAGAACAATAGCATAAATGGACCCCATCTACACAACAGCCCCACTTACGTTATTGTACAACATACATGCATATCACAAATATTCTGTAGAACAGTCAATAATGTGACATAATGGCTAAAAGCCAGAATAGTGCAACAAGGATAGAGGGTCATTGCTAGGCAGCGGCATGGTAAACATGTTTCTGCAGCAGCAGATACAGACACAACAACAGAGGACACAATATTTTCTATGCAGCCATTATCAGGCAAAAATTCAGTAAACATGTTTCAGCATCAATGAATCAGAACATAACAACAGAAGAACTATCAGAAGTGGTGCCTTCTGTGTGTTCCATGCAAGGCTATATAATGAGAACCAGGAGGGTAAGGCACCGACCAGATCAGTAATGACTTCTGTTTGCCCTGCCTGGTAATTAGCAGCAGACACCTACATTTTAAATTGAAGTGCCCGCAAAACAAGGTATGTTGCACCATCGAAAATTTTCTGAGGTGAACAATGGTCTGTGATTAGCGGCCCTCGTGGTCCAGGGTTAACGTTCTCACCTCATGACTCAAGGTATGCGGGTTCAAACCCGGCGGAGGTCGTGGAATTTTTAAGGGCGGAAAAATTCAGGGAACAAGGCCTCCAGGAGGGACTTTAAACCATGGGTCCTGTGTCGTAGATTTACGGCACGTAAAAGATCCTCATATCTCTAGGAGACCTCTGAGCAAAATTAGGCAAAAAGTTTCCCACACAAGTAGTTTCCAATGTCTCCGGTAGATGGTNTAATAATGGTCCATAATTTGCACAAAGTTTTCAACCTTCTGTATATAAACAATTATAAAACTGAACAGCAACAAACAGAAGCCATATAAAATTGTGAGACTGAACATGTTCGCAGTATAGAATAAGGTGAAGCCTGACATAGAAAATATAAAAGGTTTAAACCTCGCAGTGATCAAGCTTATGACCGTTCAAGTGACTAACCTGCCGTTGTAGCATAAGATATGTAAGATAGGCATGGCTTGCTTTGTAATGCCCGTGACAGAGGACTTGTAGATAGTGCAAAAGCAAGAATTTTCAATAATATATATGTACATCTGATAAAAGGTCAAGCATATTAGCGTGGAAATCCATCATGTCATCAGAGAGGATGTTACATAAGGACTATGACCGCAAGCACTCAGGTGGGGGGGGGGGCTCTGGTCATGAGCCTCAAGGGGTTTGGCACCACGAAGAACTGATTGGTGGTAAAGCACCAGTCTTAAAGTACCTTTGACTTTGATTTGGCATAATACTTCATAGATTTTAAAGGGTTCCGGCAATTGTGTACAACACTCAGAGTTAATGGGTTTTCAGACTTTGTCCATTATCTGGTATTCTAAAAACTAGAAAATACATCATTTTGGAAACTGGACATTTCTGTTCTAAGGTGAGGGGAGAGACACCTACTCTGTTGGGCCCCTTAGAAACGGTTAACCTTGTGTGCAGTAGTTGTAGTGACACAGAGGGTGTAAATTAGAAAGATCATTATAGTTATTTGTGGTTACAAGTTGTGAGGGTCCAATAAACCAAATTATCAACCTAAATCCCGTGTCTAGTCACTAACACATGACAATGTCACAAATTAGTAACTCCAGTATGTAACAGAGAGTAGTACTACTAATTATAAGATACACAGCCTTACATTCCTTTTTGTATTAAGTTTTTCAAGAGACTTCTATTTGCTTCTGGGGGCATATTCTGATAGAAATTATGTTGTGGACCGTGAATAGATCAGAAAAACAAAAACATACATCCATTAAGAAATATGTGTAAAACTTATGTTACAGTTCACTCCATACCTTGAGTTTATTTTCCTTTCGATTAACAATAACAGCTGTAATCTGTTGATCCATGAATATAAGGATAGTTCCAAGGAGAGCAGGCAAGGCAGCAAGAATAGCTGTCCATATTGGGTTATTGTTGAATGGCGAAATAAACCAGCCTCGACCCTCCAGTGTTGGCTTGAACTCACTTGGCACCTCCACAAAAATGTATTTTTATTTACTCAAGAACATAAAACGTACATAGACATAAATAAATATATCCCACCTACACCAAATTTCAATGAAGTAATTTCATTAATTTTGGAGATGAAACATGTGGACAGAGACAACCTTAAATTTTTTTTTGGATTCGCTTAGTGGGGTGTGGAGTCCAACCGGGTCCACTCGGCATGGTGGCCACTGACTGGCCTATTGTAGCCTGCCCTGGGTGATTATGATGATGGAGAATTTGGTGGAATGAAGATTGGCAGGGGAAACTGAACTACTCAAGAGAAAACCCACTCCAGCGCCACTTTGTCCACCACAAATCCCACTTGACCAGACCAGGGATCGAACCCAGGCTGCCACAGTGGGAAGCCATCGACTAACCGCTTGAGCTATGGTGTGACCAAACACAACATTATCTATATATTCTTGGTCTGTGCAAAGAACGTAAACATTGAACAACACAAGAGAAACCTCTGTATCCAAGATGTGCCATCTCTTAACATATATATATAAATTGTATGCAATGTAAAACATAATGAAGACACAGGAATAATCAGGTTTTAAAGATGGGTGAGTTGCTCATTAATTTGCATCTAACAAATTTTTGGTAGAATATATTCATAACATCTACGTAGGTCATACTGAAAGTCATGAGCAGACGAAAGAGAGTATGGTGGTAGGTGGAACCAGCTGTTGTGTTAACCTTGAGTGTCTTGTGACGTCAATGGCCAACAACGACATGTCATTTCTCCAGCATGCTGTCATCAAATTTCTTGTGAAAGAGGAAATCCCTGCTGAAGAAATTCACCAAAGACTTCAGCGTGCATATGGAAGTGGGTGCATGGGTGCGAGCAGTGTTCGAAGATGGGTGAAACATTTTAAAGATGGGAACACTAGCATCAAAGATGAGCCTTGGAGCGGTCGTCCTCGAACAGCCTCAACTGATCTCAACAAGGAAAGAGTGGATGATATCATTCAAGATGACAGGTGTGTGACTGTGGACACAATAGCCCGAAAAATTGGAATAGGGCACAGTGCAGTACGGGAGATGATTGAAAGCTTGGGCTATAGGAAAGTTTGTGCTTATTGGGTCCCGCAGTTATTGACTGAAAACCAAAAAGGTCAGTGAAAAGCCATCACCTCAGAACAGCTGCAGAGATACTGACACGAACGTGATGATTTTTTGCTCGTACTGTGACAGGTGACGAAAGCTGGTTTCACTATTTTGAGCCTGAAACGAAACAGCAGAGTATGGAATGGCACCATTTGCATTCTCCATCAAAAAAGAAGGTAAAGACAGTGCCTTCAGCTGTGAAGGTGATGGGCACAATCTTCTGGGATGCAGAGGGGTTTATTCTGGCCAAACCATCAATGCTGCTTGTTATGTCCAGATGCTGCACAAGCTCCACTGTGCATTGCGCAACAAACATCCGGGATGAAACATCATCATCCTGCATGACAATGCTCGCCCCCATGCCACTCGCCTCACATTGGAAGCAATTGCAAAGATGGGGTGGGAAGTTCTTCACACCCCTCCTATAGCCCTGATCTGGCACCCTCTGACTACCATCTTTTCGGATTTGTGAAGGATCAGCTGCATAGACAACTTTTTGAGACAAGGGAGGCAATTCAGAAAGCAGTGCGTCAGTATCTTCAGATGGCTGGAACGGAATTTTACAGAAGGGGAATTTTCAAACTCCCAGAACGCTGGGAGAAATGTGTACAAAGAAGTGGCGATTATGTGGGAAAATAAAGAAAGATCTGTAGATTGAGGTGGTGTATTTGGTTTGTCAATAATAAAGCATGTTACTTTACAAAAAATTGTTGCTCATGACTTTCAGTATGACCCTCATAATTACCTAGAGGCTTCAGACAGGAATTTATCAGAATACAGGAGCCTTTTTCATGAATAGCTTAAATTCATATGCTAATTACAGACTTCAATGAATGTTATATCATCAAACCGAATTACAGTTATACAAAAGATATATCAAGCATATAGGCTCTGTCCTTACAGTGTGATCTATATATTGATAGAGTAACTGAAGTCATAGTTTGCTATGAGTTATTCTCATTTAATTTCTCTTCATTTATTTTTATGTGAATTGGCTATTTAATGACACTGATAGTGTCAAGGCCATATAACATTGATTTAATTTCTAATTTTATCCACACTTCAGTTACTGTCCCTGCAATATATGACTTAGAATACACAACTGTAAATACAAAACCTGTTATGAGATACATGGTTAATGCTGTCTGCATTTGATTTAATTGAGTTGCAAATATTTACTTGTAATTTAGGTGTCTTGATTCCAGCATAAAAATCCAGCCCTGTCATGGACAATATGGCAATGATGACAGCAAAATCACTGAAAACTTGCCGCACCTAAAAAACAGAGAGATATTATTCAGAATTAAATCAATCTGGAAGATTATGTAACATTTATGATTATTTCAGCAGTTTTTATGATACTTACCTTTGATGGAAAGAACAATGAATTTTTAAAATCTTTCAACTGAACTGAAATTAAGAATGTTCCCAGGAACAAAATGATGGACATCAGAAACACATCAGGTACATAATGTGGAGTATCACAACCAGCTCCTAGCATTGTACCATTTTTCAACTGCAATAGAGAATAAAAAATACTTAATAAGGCATTCTGCATTCTCCTTCTAAAGTATAATTTGCTACAAGGTAGAGCACAGGAGTTAAATAAATTAGTATTTATATGACTTAGTGATATATTTTTGCACATTATTTTCTTTAGCAGAGTCTCCAGCTCCTTGAAACCTGTCATACATAACCTCAAACTTTCATACCATTACAATGTTAATATATGACAGATTCTTATAAAATTGGTAGGTATGTTTATGGTCCATCTCCATACCAAATATAACATGTTTAGTAGTTCTAATTCAATAGAGATTGCTATAAAACAGAAATCTGAACATGAATTGTGTGAGGTTCTACAAGCCTCATTTAATATTCAACATACACATATGTTCTTAACAGTTCCATACTTTTGGAAACTCAATTACGATACAAAATTTCAGGTCTGTACATTACATGATGCTTACAGAATGTCCAAAATACTGATAACATTACGGTACAAATTAATAAAGTACATAGGTCTGCATGATGACCACAAAGAGTTTATCGACCATTGTCAATTGGTTCTGAACTTATTGGAAAAGACACACAAAACACATGGACACAATACCTTTCCCTTACAAAATAATTTACATTGCAAAATCATGGTACAAATTATGTATGCTGTTATTAATGTAGAAGTAGAAGGGAGTAACATTTCTAGCTTGAACTAATTTCAAGGAAAGCTTCAATCTGAAATAATATTGTCATTTTACTTCCAGAGTACCTAATTGTAAATAGGTTATCGAAAATTACAATGAATCCCATTAACATAATTAAAATATTAATCATCTGGACTAATATTGTACAGTATACACATATTTATGCCCTGTGTTTAACCTTTAACGGCCATGTTATATATATATATGCTGGCAGGACATGTGCTCTCTTTGGGAGTGCTGACAGTTTGACCTTAGGTTCGAAACCAAAACAAACACTCGTAACGTCATGTCAGTGGTTCATTCCTTAGCTCTGAACAATGACATCGTTTATCACGGTACTGGCTTTGAAACTATTTACGTTTAGACATGACTGTTTATGACCTGGTCAGCCAAATATAGCCCAGCTTTGTTTCGAGAACTGATGAGGAAATATTTATCGGTGCTCACATAGGAGTGCTTGCAGAGCCTTCAAGGAAGTCTGAAGCATTTAAGGACTGGTTTTCAGTGGCGAATTATCAGTCAGGAAGTCAGTGTTGGATTGTGTAATATTTCTTTATCAGTCAGGAAGTCGGTGTCAGACTGTCATATATTTCCTTGTATATAATTTTTATTTTGTGTCTGGGAAGAGGTACGAGTATAAACCTACTGAGCCAATATTACTTTGTGAGCAAAAGGCATCTTTGCCACTGCGACTTTCGGTATCAGCGACAGACTGGCACCCTTTTCGACTAGTATTATAATTATTTTAAATCACTATTTTGTGAGAATTACTAATAGGTGAGAGTGTCGTTTTGTCAATCAACATAATTTATTCGATTTTGCTAGAACCCCCTTCCCCCAAGACGATTCTTCAATCGCATAAGGCGAATATCATGGTCAGTGCCGTTTCTCAGGGGGAGGCCAAGGTTATCTGGTGCCCAACTGAGTCGACTGGAGGTGAAACATTCACAACACTGGCCAACCAAAGAGAAACAAAGACATCGTGTGTTTCGCTAAATAAGAAAAGAAGGAGCATGCTCTTCTATTGTAAAAAGTGTGATTTTGCTCTGTGTGAATGGACTGCTTCGAGAAGTGCCACACCCGTCACTGTGAGTATCGTAGTGAAGTGACTGTGAAGTGACACAGTTCAAACTCGGGTACAGTAATATTATTATATATAGTGTGGTTATATTTACAATATCACCAAGTCTCAAAGCTGAATATCACAAGGTGAATATCACGGGGAGGCCAAGGTTACCTGGGGCCCACCTGAGTTGACTGGAGGTGAAACATTCAAAACACTGGCCAACCAAAGAGAAACAAAGACGTTTTTTTCACTAAATAAGAACAGCAGGAGCACGCTCTTCTATTGTAAAAAGGGTGATGCCGCTTCGTGTGAGGTGGACTGCGCATCAGAGTGTATCATAAACTGTGAAGTGACACAGTTCAAACTGTACAGTCTGAACAAAATATTATTGTATATAATGTGATTATATTTACAATATCACCATGATTCAAGGTTGAAGAAAAAACAATGGGTAAGTCCTTTGGAAGTTCATAACATATATAATTTGTACTTCATGACAAAATAATCACAGTTAATTTTCGTTTCTAAAAATTGCTCTTTTGTGTATATGTAGAAAATTTTATTGTCTTTCAGGCTGTTTTTAGTTCGTATTTCTATGTTGCATAGAACGGAAAATATGTATTTTTTTTTCTGGAATTTTTAAATGTTAATTAATTAGGGTGATTTAAATACCAGCGGCAGAGGGCTGCCGGCAATTTGAAAGTCCGTAAGTTAAAGGTTAAATGCTATACAAGAAACATAACACCCATTATATCTACTTTCACTTCTATATTACATGCCTTGAAAAATATTTCTGGACTGATAGCTTCAATACAAACTTACCAGACATTCATCCTCCTTTAAATATGTCCAGTTAACGTTTTCAAGAGCAAATGATCTGTTGGTAGGAGTGCAGAAACATTCATAATTCAGTATTGTATCACCATGAGTATTGACAGGAAACTTCTTTCCAATACTGAGTACATTCTCAACAGCCTGAAACAATGAATATTAATTGCAGCACAGTAATATCAAACTCTGTAGCAGCTTCATCAGGCATATGACAACATGAAACATAGAATAATGACATTTGCTCAGCAAAACCTGTCCATTTTCTAATTCACATTTCAATTCATGGCCAATGATGGCAACATCTGTCTTAGAGAACATTCTCTTCCAGTGCTAGCAATGTGTGTGGCAATTCAGTTGTTGAAAACTTAAACTTTTTCCAATATACAGCATCCAGATGCCATAAAGCCTTCAGAGATAATTTATAAATTTTCAAAAATCAAATTTCCTTTGCAGAAGAAGAATAGTTAGATATAAATTCCTTAAACTAACATGAATTTAAGAAGATTGTATCAGGCCTAAAATCTATGGCTGACATTTCTTCCTCAAAGCTTGTACAGTCAGCAAAACTGCATACCCTTTCTAGCATCTTCTGCTGTTAGAGGCTAGTGCTAAAAGAACTAAGTTCTCATTATTGTCCACATCATCAAGCCAATTTCTCAGTAGCTACTTTAACTGATACCTTTATATATATATATATATTGTAACGTGTTTCGTTACAGAAGACGCCGTAGAGATGGTTAATTGGTTTATTTAACAATCTTCAAATAATGGCTANCTCGGTGACGTCACCGCTGTTGATTCGCTTTGCATAACTTCAAGGTCGCGGGGACTCGGCTAACGTCGGCTCCGCTCGGCTCACTCCGGCTCCGCTCGTGACGTCACTGCGCGTTGCGCGTTGCATAGCTACCAGGATGCGGGGTGATTACTCGCCTATTACGCGAGCGCTACGTTACCGCTACGTGCAGCTGGGGAGGTAGGGGTCGACATGTCACAATATATATATATATTATTATATAAAAAGTATAAGAGTATGTGGCACAAATGGGGGAGAGGAGAACTGAATATAGGATATGGGTGGGTAAGCCAGAAGGAAGGAGACCACTGGAAAGACCAAGGCATAGGTGGGTGGACAATATTAAAATGGATCTCAGAGAGACACACGAGATGGTATGGATTGGATTGATCTGGCTCAGGATAGGGACCAGTGGCAGGCTCTTGTGAACACAGTAATGAACCTTCGAGTTCCGTAAAATGCTGGGACGTTCTGGAATAGCTGCACAATTGGAAGCTTCTCAAGAGGGGCTCAGCTCCATGAGTGAGTGAGCGAATCTACAACAATAATCAAGAAAGCAGGACAAACTAATCCTCCTTCATTAATCGTCCTAACACAGAGAGACTTACAAATAACACGTATACACTTACTTTATAAATAAAAATAAAAGCTATAAGAGTTGCAAAATTTTCTTCTGTGAATCGAGTGATGTAGCACACCAAGACACTGGCATCTACAGCCACCAGAATAATGAGGATCACTGCAATCCACATTCCAATCCAAAAACGAAATGACATGTAATCCCATCCCTTAGATCTGAAAATCAATTAATAACAGGTACGTTATTAGGACAAGACAAAACATCATGACACATACACTTGTTCAAGCACCAGAATCTTATACATGGTTTGCAGGGATAAAAATATTTTGCAGGAAATCAATGATCTTAAAATTGGGCAATACTTAGAGAAATCATTCATGGTCTATGTTGGATTTTAGGTTCTCCTAACAGCAACTTCAAGGAATTTTATTTCCTGGGATGTGATGACATTTAGTATGGTAGAAGATCACTGACATTTTATAAGAATGTATTGCCTCCAAAAGTTATTGAATTTCTACTGAACTATGTGGTATCACATCCCAAGAAACAGTATTCTTTTTTCATTGTCTATATTAAAAATATTAAACAAACATTTTTCAGGATGCTCTGTGACAACAATGATAAATCTACCAAAATTATCAGCCCTAAAATTCAAACCAGGAATTTTCCAAACTCAAAGCTGATATTCATTGCATATGTAAAAATGTTCAGTAAGTGTATGTACTATGAACCTCTAATGGTTTACACTGCTGAACGATCAACAAAATAAGTGGGACACTGTATTTTTTGTAATGTGTAACTATAGATAATCGTTTCTAACTACAACTAACTGTAACTTTAACCTTAAGAAGGTCAGGGCCACAAGATCTATAATCTGCCCATTTACATGCTTTCCTTATAATTCAAATGATATGACTTCTGTATACAATATTTTTAACTGTATATGTTATAATATTCATATTCCATCGTATAATTCACCTCTCTCATTTTTGTTTTTACATTAACAAAGAAGTCAATATACAAGTATATCTCATAAATTCCATTCATAAGTATGAAAGAAGAAAGGAGTGAAATATATTGTTATTAAAGTCTAAAATCGACAGTAGTATCGGATCTTTAGATGCATGCAGGAAGATTGTGGATTATTTTCTGGACTTTCCATGGTCTAGTATTGAAAGAGAACACAGCATTTCAGAAATTGGATCTGTTCCCACTCTCAGGCTGAATGGGGGGGAAGCACCTACTCAACTGCACCCATTGACTGAATTAGCTCTTTCTAATGGACCCAACTGAGTAAGTGGCTTCCCCGGCCTTCCTCCTGAGGACACACACCCTTCCAGTTTCTAGACCACGTTATTTCAGAATGCCAGACAATGAAGAAATCCACAACTCACTAATAGTAAGGGTAATATACCTTCATCAGAATGCTTTAGAATTTACTTACACAAAAAGACATGATATTTGACACAATTCAGGGAAGAACATTCCCAGTTTTTTTACTTGTCATGTGATATGTGTGATCATGCAGTCATTTGGACTGTGGGTGTGATGGATTGGAAGCTATGCCACATGAAAGAAACATGACAGAACTAATATGAAGATTTGAATACTAAGGTTTAAAGAGAACTTTGCAGACTTGATGACTTGTGTTTATTTTTTTTGAAAATTTATCATATGTACAAAACTTAACGAAAACACTCAGCTCAGTCAGTATAGCAATGGGCCACAGGCTGGATAGGCAAGGTTCGATTCCAATCAGGGGCAAGAGATTTTTCTCTTCTCCAGTGTCCAAACTGGCTCCAGGGCCCTTCCAGCCTCCTATACAATGGGTATGAGGGACCCTTTCCCCATATATGAAGCAGCTGGAGTGTGATTCTGACCACTCACCACCATCTAGTGCCAAGGTCTAGAAGGGTGAAGGTATACATCCACTACCCATATGTCTTAACCTTTAAACACTGGACTTCTGAAATGGTGGTAAGCTTGAGCTGGTCACAGTTTATTTAAATGCCCCCTGCTGGTGCGCGTTTAAATGCCCATTGCTGCTCTCCATTTAAAATGTCCCTTCCTGTTAGGACGCTTAAACAATTTTAAGCATTGTGTTTAAAAATGTTGTATCTAACACAATTTTTATGATAAATGGATGGAATTAACTTTGTTTGTATCAGCAAAGAACATAGTGTCGCATATTATAATGGAAAATTTGAAAATTTTTATACAAAGAGATATACTCTATTTTCAATTTTTTTCTTTCAATTCTGATGCCTACTGTAAAAATGGTTTCCCAGTTCCTCACAGAGTTGTTCTGCATTATAAAATCAGTCCTGCTTGTAACAATTGACATATTTTAGCAGTCCCTGGTGTCATAAAACAGATGCAAGCAATAAAATCATTTGGTCTTCTGCTGGCAAGTTTCACGTCTTTGTTATATATACACTTCAGATTTTCAAATCATTTGACTAAAGGACCGAAGAATGAAAGCATGGCTATTCAAGTCCCTTCTTCAGTGCTAAGACCTTCCGTTGTAGCTGCAAGAGATTACTGTCCCTTCTAGGGTTGTGAACAGACAGCTACAGTGTGGCTGAGATACAGAGTTCGATCTGTTTTCTGTGCATTTGTAGTGAAATCAAATGCTGTAATTTCATTTCAGCTTATATATACATCAAGCAGATAACAATAAAAAAAGGTATGTAAATCGCATTTTACACTATATATTTTTAACACATTAATCTGTAGAATGTGCAATAAAAGTACTTGGCTCATAGATGAGTTTGGTTGTAACTCATGTGTATATTCTTTTTTGTTGTTATTCACTTAGGTATCATTTTAATTCCTCTGTGGGAACATCCCACATACTAACGCGGTTTCGCCAGTCTAACAGACAGCACTCACTCCTACGTCAATATCACATTGCCGCACATTGCTGCCGATGCTCGTATTTATACAGCACTCAATGTCCAACCCACCTGTAGATTATCACGTGTGCTAACCAATCACATTGCTGCCAACGCTCGTATTTATATAGCACTCGATGTCCAACCCACTTGTAGATCATCACATGCGCTAGCCAATCAGCACTCACAATCACAACTGCAAGTTTCGCTCCGCCCATCAAGCATGGTATAAAAGGCGGAGCCCAAAGCTCACAATCATCAGTGATCACATTCAGTTCAGAGCGATTAGTCATCAGAGTCATCAGCTCTTCACTGTGACCAGGCAGCTAACGTAGCTGCTGCAACTCTCCAGCAACTACGCTCTGCGACAAGGCTGCTAACATAGTTGCCACAACACTCCAGCAACCTCGCTCTGCGACCAGGCAACTAACGTAGGTGCTGCAACTCTCCAGCAACCACGCTCTGCGACCAGACAGCTAACGTAGATGCCGCAACTCTCCAGCCCACACCGTAGGCAGCTGTTCCTATCGGCGCACACAGCACCACATCACCGGCCAGACAAACCAGCTGAATGGCCGTAAAGACTTGATCTACTACAAAGGAGCAAATTCTACCAGCGCACTCACGGTGGAACAAACTGCCCTTTTAAGAGCCAGCCAACTTTTGAACATTCCACATGGCTTCGCAGCTTTTCTGTACATTCAATTTATACAATTGTTATAGTTCTACGTGGTTGTCATTTAGAATGTCGACAATCCCACACCTCTATTATGGTTTTACTCAAGTCTGTCAGGTAATTACTACATTAAAAATAAATATTTAGGACTGTGCATGCGCTTCTACTAGTGGCGTGTGCGCACGCTTCCACTAGCGGAGTTTAAATGCCTGACTGGCCAAATTGGGGTACTTTGGCCACGACGATCATACTCATCACTGGCCCGATTGGGACACTTCAGACGTTAAAGCTTAATGGCATTGTGCTTTATATGTAAGGTGAAAGGTAAAGTAGTCCCTGTGCTTAATTAATTAATTAACATATAAAGTGGGATTTCTGTAGTGTGATTAGATTTACAATATCAAATAGATAATATTGTATTGTCGAAGATGTTGGAGCCATAAAATTGCATAGAATACATTTGAAAATGCATTCTGAATTGAAGCACGTCTTTCCATTCCTCTTAATGCAAAATATCACATGACATTACCGCTGCATCAACATACTCACTGGCAAAAGTCATACATGATGGTCTCAAACACTAGAACTGGACCTGTAGATCCTAGGATGGTTAGTGGTTGTCCAGAGAAGAAGCCATAGCCTATACCACACACAAAACCAGATACAAGGGACTCCATAGCAGCCATGTTATTGCCTGTTGCATGGCCTAAGAGACCACCAAATGTAATAATAGGTGACAGGCAAGCGAAGTACAAGAAGATCCAGGAAGCTATGCACTGCAGAGCTAGCGCATCCTTGAAGTCTGACCAGTACCTGAACAGTGAACATGGGAACATATCTATAGTAACTATTTCAAACATATAAAAGATCAAATGAGAAACAATGAATAGATATAATAATTTGAGTTCTGTCCACTGCATAATTATGACAGTGTAACTTAAAACAGGACATTGGCATAATCTGAGTAATATTTATTTGCAATTCTTTAGGCCATGAGCTAATCAATTCTGCCTCCTATCTGAAATTCTGTGACTGAACTAGACAAAGGATTGTCGGATTCTTCCAACTTAATGGCAGGGAATTAAGAAGTACTACAGTGGGGTTAGCTTCCAGTAGTATGCATGATGATTCACACCAAGTTTCATGAAAATCTGTTAACTCATTAAAAATTAATGGAGGAGACATGTGGATACCTTTCCTTATAAGAAAGGGAAAGTAGGCTAACAACAGATTCCATCTTCATACTAGACAAGGGCTAGAATTGTGTTGTTACTTGGCTTATATGTAGGGTAGCAAGTATCTGAATGTGAACAGTGACCTGTCAGGTACAAGTTTATGGCACTTACTTACTTACTTACTCAGGGAGCTGAGCCCTTCTAGAAGAGCTGCCAATTCTGCAGCTGCTCAAGAATTTCCCAGCATTTTATGGAACCCGAAGGTTCATTACTGTGTTCACAAGAACTCTCCACTGGTCCCTATCCTAAGCCAGACCAATCCAATCCATAACATCCCATCCTATCCTATCTCTCTAAGATCAATTTTAATATTTTTCACCCACCTACGCCTTGTTCTTCCCATTGGTCTCCTTCCTTCTGGCTTCCCCATCAATATCCTATAGGCATAGTTTTATGGCACAGAGAAACAAAAAAATAAAAACAAAACAACCTCCATGAGGACAGTTTCTCAAGCCAAAATTCACTCCTTACCAAGGAGACTTCCTCTTAATATCATTAATGAGGCCACCAAACAGCCTTCCTGATCTTGATAGTCCTGACTCTTCTCTCAGCTTCTGTTCATCTTCTTCTTCATCAGGTTCGTCCTTTTGTTTCTCAGGTGGCCGCTTTCTCTGATCCTGCACGTAATATGTTATTTATTAATATAAATCTTTTTTTTAAGTAAAATTAATGTGCAGTTGTAATTTTGTAACAAACAGATTCTTGGATGACATTGTTTGCTTCATAGCTGGAAATTTTGAAATAGAAAGAACACCAAAATAATAATAATAATATATAACTACTTTCCTTAAAATGCTTCAAGTCTACATGGTGATATTACATTAAGAACAATTTACTGACCCTGTTGTGTGCATAATTGCCATTGGGAGAGTCTCAATGTATATTAAATTTGTCAGGTATAACCTGAAACTCTTGCATCTCTGCCACATTTTTATCTGTTAACATCTACAATGTCTCATATAGGACTTCTGAGCATGTTTATTATCCATCTCCATACAAAATTTCACATTCCTTGCCAAAATATTTAATTAGCTATTGTCACCAAACCAAATGCTAAATACAGATTTTGTACAAACATAAAGTTATATGTGGTTTATGTAATGATCGTCAGTAGCTCAGACTACACATTGTCAAAGAGTACTGTTTTTCATTCAATATGTACATGAAAATAAAAAAGATAAACTCCACCAGGAGGCAAGGGTACTACAGTTGATTAACTAATATCCTCCCACTTATGTACTCCAAATAGTCTCTTCCCTTCAAGTTCTATGGCCAAAATGTTGTATGCATTTCTTGTCTCTCCCAAAAAAAGCAGCCTTAATGAACAGGAGCACCATTTTCAAGCTTTACTATACAAACTGAGGAAAATTCCTCACCAGATGGGTGTTTATGTAACCAGTAACACAGAAAATTCACAATTTTAGTGTGTAGTGCTATCAATAACATCAGAAGGTTCACATATACTTGCTGTATGAAAGCAAAGCAGATTATGAACAGCAGTGAGTAGAATACAACATTACTGAATGTGCCTCCAGTGCCACAACACAGAGTGGTCAGACACTATTTGCCATTACAAAAGAATGTGACTCAGAGTTAAAATTGCAAAAACATTTTTCAGTTACTTTCTCTCATATCTGGGCAAATATGGGAAACATTTTCAGACCCTCTCTGTCTGTGAGTTGAAAGTAAATCCTGTGTAAGTACCTGAGAAGGGACTGCTGCTGGAGGCTCTATCCTTATGGTAGGGTCCCATTCTCCTGGAGGAAGCACTGTTACTGCATCCAGAAATTCATCTATTGCTGATAGCAGATGATTGCGGTTGCGGGCTTTGTATGCAACATCATGAAATACTTCATCTGACATGAGTGTAGCCATGGCACGACCCACTTCATGGAAGTTTGCCAGTCCACCCTGGGAACAGCATGTTGTGAAAACCACATTAAGCCACTCCTTTTGCTCCATACAAGCGAAGAAGTTGTAATACCAAAATTTGTGTAGAGGTTAGGCTATTTGAGAGATGAACAAAGAATCATGGTTCAATTCCTGATAAGCTCTAGGGATTTTCTCTTCTCAGCATCCATACTGGTGCTAAGGCCTACCCAGCCTCCCGTCAAATGAATTCAGGATTCTTTCTCTGAGGGCAAAGTGACCAGAAAACAAAACTGACCACTCACCTCCATCTAGTGTCAAGGTTACGAATGTGTAGAACTGCACTTCACCCCCGCCCCGCCCCCTCATGCCTTCATGGCATGATGCTTAATGAGGAACACAGGCAACTTTACATTAACCTTTATAAATCGCAAACTCATTTTCACATTACATTCTTTGAACATGTGGGAAAATTAAAATGTTGAAAGAATATGTAACCCAGTACAGTATCTACTGTACTTAAGGAAAGATTGTGGGAAGAAAAAGGAGACTGGAAACTTTTAGTCCACTGAACCCATATAAAATGGAAACAATGTCAGAAGAAGAAGGGAGGAGTGTTCAGCATTGGTGTGAAGAATAGAAGAATTGGTTGCAAGTATCTTTGGAGCTGGGCCAGTGGAAAAATCGGACACAAGTACATTTGAAGTTTGTCATTAAAGGATTAAATGAGCTATTAACTGAGCTTCCGTTACAGTAAGGTTAAAATGTTGATATAATAAAGTAACAACATTTACAGTTCACAACCCAAAGACTTAATTCTTAGCATACTTACTGCTGGTCCCAGCAATATGAAGAGGAAACGTGTAGGGACAGGAACTTCTGTTAAATCTCCTAAGAAAGTTGCATGATTCAGTCGTATAAATGCTGAGAAGGTTTTCTCTAGAAAATCGACTTCTCCAACAAGAATGTTAGACGCTTCAGCCCCAGGTGGAATTTTTCTCATAAAATGAGTGTTACCCTGAAATGAAGGGAAGTTAAGTTAGTGCATACTACATGTGGTTGTTATGAACAATTCTAAGGTCTAGTGTTTGTCTAATGCTTCCATCATGAAACCATTTCATTTACAAAAATACCTAATCCACTGAGGTGGTCAAAATGTGGTTCACTGTCTTGGTTAATCGACTGGCTCACATAACGATTACATTTATTGCATTTTTTTCCTTGGCACCACAGCCGCAGTGGGCCTAGGCCTACCTCCATGAACTTCTCCGTTCACTTCGGTTTTTCTAGATTTTACACTTTCGGTAGGACTCCTTGGGTGGGTGATCAGCTCGTTGCAAGGCCTCTACCTGTACACAAACACAGAAAAACGCACACACACAAACTAAACATCCATATCCTGAGTGGGATTCGAACCCACGATCCCGGTTTCCAAGCGAGCGAAGACAGTACATGCCTTAGACCGCTAGGCTACAGTGACCGGCTTATTGCATTTAGTAAACAATATTATTCTTAAATAAGAGACAGTATTGCTTATAATGAATGCATGCATTAAGTTTTGTCTAAATAAAATAAAACATGAACAAATGACTGGATTACTGAACTATGACTACAATGTTAGTGTATATAAAATAAGTCAGGAAGTGAAACAGAACAGTGGTACAACTCCCAACAGTGGTGAAATAATGCCATAAATTTACAGTTATATTATGATCCAATAAAAAAAAAAGTTATTTTAACAAATGGGAATGAATTTGCTGTAACTGTGACCAAGGACTGCTGCCCACTGTAAACTCTCTACTTCATACAATGCAAAAGTCTCTCAAAACCAAAATCCTGAATGCATTCCACAGTCCAAGAATTCACATAGACCAGCTAATGTTCTTTCAAATAAACAGCATTACATTGAACAAATAATTTTAAAAATAAGGAATTAAAAAATCCTACAACATGGCCATCTGCAACTTCTTGCTCCATATCTCCTTGGTTTACAAATCTACACTATGCCCCATTATAAACGTTACCACTTTGTAACATCTTCAATCAACTTTTTCTTTCTTACACTTTAGAAAGGTCATCATTAATCAAATCAAGAACTTGTTTGATTACACAGGATACAGTGCATATCAGTTAACCAGAACAGTCACATTTATAGAACTGATCTTCAAATATAATTCTGAAACAAGATGTGCTTTCAATAATAACTGTTAAGTAAAATGGAATTAACTTTCTGAATGCACCTTGCTGTTACTGCATTTACTACAGTGAGATTTTGAAGCAATAGAGTCTATTTCCAGTCCCCCTGTATATTTTAAATGCCAGCTTCTTTTCTGTTGCTTTCTTTTAGTTACCTTGGGCTGGATCCCCTCACAATTCAATTCTCCTAATGCAGAGCCACTACTGAAGTTGCGACTTAAAGATGCTGAACTGTGGCTATGTTCCAGTCCCTGGGCATTGGGAGCACTTGCTGATCCTTCAGAACAAAATAATCAATACAGATATCAATGAATTTCTTTAGAAAGAATTACTGGAAGGATAGTTAAAAGTGTGATACAATTCTAAAGAAAAGTTTGATCAAATTCTGGACAAAAGTGTGAAAAATTCTTATTTTAATCCAGAAGCCTGATTCTTTTCAAAATGGCTCTTTCAGATAGTTTCTGTGAGACGTACCTATGGTCTACATAACACAGATGTCTAATCTAGATGACATGTGGAGACTGAAAACTTCTCTCCAAATTACAGAATTAACATAATTCAAGCAGAAATTTTTTAAAAATTTAAATTTTCTTAATCATTTCATCATTGTGAATGGAGAAGCTGCACAGTGCAGAAACCCATGTCATGTGTTATAATAAGAACTGTCCCATCCAATAAAATGAAAATCCTGTTTCAAATTTCTGTTGGAGCAATGGATTTCAACACCAAATTGAGGAAAATCTTAAATGAAGGTAACACTTAGATTACTGATTTGAAATCGTTGAAGCTGTACATTAGATGAGTGATAACCTAGAACTGCGAATATTAAATTTTGGTTGCACTGCACAGTTTTACAATATCAACGTTTTTGTTTTGAAGACCTGAATAACCAAAAGACAGAAATATATGAAATTTCTTAGATACAGAGTTCTGAATAAAATAATATATATATTTTTTATTACTGAAATATGATGTCTTTATAAAGTTATGAGACATATTGTGATATGATATTCAAATGGATGTATGGTCCCAATAAAATATCTTCCCACTGAATTCACTTACACCAAAGTGTTTAACAAGGTTTTAAAAAATTTCAGTAAATGCATTTTGTCCTTTCAGCTGGCCATTGCAAACATTTTGTAGTGGATCTATTAACTACAAATGGTTTACTTTCAACAGCTCTAACATAAAAGATAATTATTAGGTTAAGTTTAGGGTACACAGTGTAAAGACCATCAAAATTCAAAGTTAACAAACAAGTACAATGCTAACAAAATGCTCATGGAGATAAGAAATGGTGTGACTGACCATCTGGAAATGTCCTACTTGAAGATGTTTCAGCAAAATCCATTCTGGGCTCCCCCCCACCCCAGAATAAAACTGTTTTCAATTTTATAGCCACTTACATATCTCTGAGGACATAACAGGAAGTAGTACTACTATATATTCCAGTTTCACAGTGTGGAATTAATGTGAGTAGTAGCACTGTAAAAATTCTCAAAGTTGAAGAAAATTTTGCAAGTTTGTAAGTGGGAAGAAAAATGGTAAGATAAATATAAATGTAAAGTTAATGATAAAAGGATGATAACCCACCAGAGCAGAGGAAGAGAATAGCAAATGTTTTGTCTCCACTGTGCTTAGCCCCAAAGCCTTAAAGCATGCTGTGCTGCTGAAGCTATGTGAAGTGTTGATTGTAAAATTCATTTTACAAAGCTGCAAAAAGCATTGATATATTTGTGCACTTATTTGTTCTAATTACTGCACAATCCTTAAGTCAGATTAATTTTAAAATGTTGAATGAAATATTTCAGTCTGTATACTGTAAAATACCCAATTACAAATTAACACTTTCATTAGTGTTTTTACAAGCATAACTACAGACTAAAAATACCAAAAATTTAAGGTTAACTCTGATGTTCAAACGGTTGTATATTCCAATTGAAAAATTTATTTACTTCAATGAAGCAATTCTGCTCTGTTTGTCAGTACCTTTTCCTCCCACTTCTTTACTGTATTATATTTATAACGTTTTTAAAATATTAACAACAGCACAAGGGTGAATGCTTAAAATTTCCATGTAGGTGTTCCATCCAAGACTTGGAGAAAACAAATGATCTGACAAACACATGTTCCTCCACAAACAAAAAATATTTATTCCAGAAACACAGTGCATGTTCATAACCACTCAAAATATGTTAGTTGTTAATAAAATTCAATGGTTCCCATAATTTTCATTTCATCTTCTGTCCTGGTACATTAAGTAACACAATGCCCTGAAATGAAAGTAACAGTAACATATGGAAAGGTAAAACCAGTGACACCTCTCTGCCAATATGTTAATTTAATATCTAATCCAACTGTTTTACACACTACTTTAACTGAAGTATAAATAATATATTTAAGAAAAATACAAAACAAAGTCACATGCAATAAGAAATCAAGCAATACAGTTACAACAAAAATGCAAGCTGAACAAACCAATGGCAACCACAACCTGCATCACATACAACATAATTCAACATTTCCTTTAAATATCCATTTATAATGATGGAAGTTGCACTAGATGGCACTTCACAAACAACATGGCATAAGAACTGAGCATTAAATAATTGGTGACCATGTTCACAATTAGCATAATCATTAATATGCTAAGCATTCAAGAAGAGGGGAACTGAGTATGTTCGCAGGCCAAGCATACTTCTTCATCAAAATGGTCTCTCCAACTATACTATAAGGAGACAGTAATGGATATATTTCCTTTCTACAATGCAGTTATCTACTTCAAATGCAGAGGACATGGTGGCCCAGAAATGAGGCCGTGACAAAGAATCATGGATTGGCTGACCAGATCCAGTGTTGACTATTTCACACAGCTTCTTCCTTCCCTCACCTCTGCTAATGACTGGGTTCCTACCATGGTAGAAAGGCTGTGTTCAGCCACAGATCTGTTCCACAGATATCCACACCTCAAAAATAAACTCCTTCATTATTTCTGTGGTGGGTAGGGGCCAAGAAGGTTACAGTGACTGTAAATGGCGGCACTAGCCATCAGAGCATATTTAATTTAAAATGGGATGTGAAGTTTCTGGCCATGAGAAATGGGCACAGGCAATTCCTTCATTCATTATTCAACATTTCTGCTCTCCATCTAACACTGCTTAGATCATTAACCCAACAGCAAACTTTGATAGCTGCAGAAAGTTGAGCTGTACACGTGATGTAAGGCACTCTGATGATTGGCACATTACATCAAAGGAGTTTATTTGTAGAGGAAAGACATGCAGTGTACCTACAAGAAAGTCTTGTGGTAATTATATGGAACTTAGTCCAAAATCTTAGATTTGATTTCAATTCTCCAGTTTCAGAAGACAGAAAGAAATCCATGGACTAAGAGAAGATCTAGTAGAAATAGCATTACAAGACTTAAATATAAGCAGACTTTTTTAAATGTTAGTTCATTTTAATGGCATGATGTCAACTGCAGAGTTTCTATAGTGCCAAAAAAATGAAATAATGTGGCAGAGGCAATCATGGCCTATTTTAAGGTCTTGTCTCTGCAGCTGCTTGGAGACTAACGAAAACCACAGATAATCTGACAATATCTGGTCTGCATCAGTGGTTGCTATGATACAATCTTCAAGAATAAATATTTTCTATGTCCACTACTTAGGTTACAGTTTCTTGCTGATATATACAAATAAATATATAGTTACTAATGAAAGTCATATCAAATGCTGAGAATTAACATGAATGATGCTAAAATTTCATGCAATTGTTTTCCTGCTGATGCAATAAATCTTGGTATTATAAGGGCTAAACTACAAAGGGCCCAATACAAGTATACCCTTGTTAATGTGGTACCTGCCTTCCTGAATGATGTGGTGTAACATAAAAGATACATATCAAAAGCTTTGTCCCTTGTACACTCAGTGTTGGGAATGGGCATCAATTTCCATGCTGATAATTTACATTGATCGCTTTGGTAACTGTAATCTTTCTCACCTGACATTGCACGTTCATCAATTTTGTAATTTTTACCCTTTCTTTTGGTTAAGAAAGAAAAAGTGAAATCACAGAAAATGTATCCAAACATATAAAAAAACGAAATACTGGTTGAATTTAAATTTAAAAATTATATACGTCTTATAATATTTATTATCGTTAGTAATGCTTCTAAAAATCAATTTATAGCCTGAAATTTAGGACAGAGATTTGTGGGGGTTAAGCGGAAGCAGTGGAGAGAACAGAGTGAGAAGTACAGCCTCTTTTCCAGTGCTTTATCAACAACGTGAGGTTGAGACAGCAGATTTTTTCAGCAGCTTCCTGCTTCTTTTGCTCGGAACTTTTCAGGAAACCAAGAAACTGTATATATGCAGGCCTACAAAATGTACAGACTGAAAGGATGTGAACTTGGGTATACATGTACCTGGACTACACAAATAGGGCACTTACCTAAGCCTCAAAATTCCATCATTCTTGACTGGCATGAGATAGGCCCTGTGCTCTTGCTATGAGTATGTTTATGCGAGTTGTTTCCAAAACTTAATTATTCCATGAACCCCTTTCTTGAAGAATCGAAATGTAAGAACACCATCCACAATTACATTTTCTTTCTACAGAATTTCATTTTGTCACATAATTTCCTCTCAGATACCTATCCAAAATGACCCATCTGACATAACTAAATTTTAGTATGGAATTTCAAAAATCTCTTCAGTTCCAAAAGGAAGCAACTGTAACAGAATACAAAAATATTGTTTCATTTCTGAAATCCAAAAAACATGTAACAGTAATAGCAATGTTTCTGTAAGTATGCATTAAAATAATATTGGCACATAAGCAAGAAGTACTGCTTCCCTCGATATTTCTATTATCGTACAGTTAAGTAAGAAGAAACTCTTCTTATCCATACAGTGTAGCAAAATAATTTTTGTACTTAATTTTAACTAATAAGACTGAAACTATCTTGAATTTGTTAGATGTAACCTCAAGATTGTGTATTACTGCCATGTATATAATTACCTTTCTTATATTTACTGACTTTTCAGGTATGTTCATAATCTGCTTCCTCATATAATGCTACATGCCTAGCCCTAATGGTTTATTAGTTTTCAACATGAAACAGAAACAAAAGAAAAATAAATTCAACAAAGGTGGTCTATTGTAAAACAATCAATTATTATCACACAGAATTTCAGGACCCTACATTAGCTTTGGCTGGCCATGCACTGCCCTACTGTAATGGAATGTGCATGATATCCAGATAAGCACTGCATTTTCTCAACACCCTTACTCTGAATTACAATCTGGCCATTGGCCCCACAATGTTGGGGGATTTAAAATTCCCTATTCCAGCCAACATTAACAGTTAAATGGCATAGGTATAAGTTACACCTCAGAAGTATGCACAGCTACCAGATTAAGTCAGAAAATTAACAAATACATAAGCAGAATGGCGTTTAGTGATTGAAGTTCATACAAGTTGCATTAACCTCAACCACACATCATATTCCCCCCAAGGGGTTCATGAACCACAGTTTGGAAACAACTGCGTTATGCTTATGTCATCATTATAAATGGATAGGACTGATATTTTGGAATATATCACAGTACAGAGTAGCAGAACAAGGCAACAACAGCAAATCAGCACTTAGCCAAAATCTGAGCAATAGGAATAAGCTGCTATGTAGGTTACCAGCTCCGGGGATAGAAAGAAATCGGCCAATGTCTGTAGGCTTGGACATGTTGGCCATGGTGATGGCTGATTGAGATGTTTGCGTCGGTTCCTCCACTGCAGAGAAACAGGGACCTCAGTTTGGAGCCAACACACTCTCCATACAAACATTGCACTACATATGACACTCTTCAGATACCAAAGTCACATGAAGCAAATTCAAATAAACCATCACAAGAGCAAGAGTGGAGTGAAATACATGTATTTCAAATGCCATACGTAAATAGTGAAAGATAAACTACAGCATGGCCCAATATAAAGTAACCAGAAATATATATTAGTCCTGAATATTTCATAAACTTATGTATATGCAAATAAGATTTAAAAGTTTGTGACAATGGTACATTAACACAATTACTGCATTTCTGGACATTACCCACTGTCCCATTTTTACTTATAACAACACACAACATTGCAGAGACTGGATTCTAGGGACTAACTCTATCGACTGGGCCCAACTGAGTAGGTACCACCTGAAGACAGCGACAGAATCCAGTCTCCAAAACGTCATGTGTGGTTTTAAATAAAACGGGATGAGGGATAATGTCCAGAAACACAATAATTGTACTCATTTTTATGAGTTCTTCACATACAGGGCATAAAATGGACATATCAATAGAGATGTAAATATGTTTCTTTCTTACTCAAATATTTCATCTCCAAAACAATTACATTTTGAAGAATGTTCATATTAAAGATGTAAAACAAAGGTAAGTTTATTTAATTTGGTTCATGTCGGTCAAATATAAATCTTATTCTAAATGAAGGTGCATGTTATCAGTTTTATTATAACTTACCATAAAAAGAAATCTGAATAACATAAAATACAGATCTCATTCAGAAGTACCAAGTTTAAAATGTTTTCTGACATACTGAATATTTAATTAAATAAAGGGAATAATTTCTGGCTCTTGGTAGTGTGAACAGCTTTGCAAAAAATTCATGTACAAAAACAAAACTGAGAGACTTGAAAGGATTCTGACGATGGGGTATGCTGTACAGAACTATTAGACTTATTTGGACTCTGTCCATCGTCTGGTATATAGAAGACAAAAATCACAACGTTTTGGAGACTGCATCTGTCCCCGTCCTCAGGTGGATGGGGCAGGATAAACATTCTCAGATGGGCCCCTTAGAAAGAGTAATTGAGACTAGCTCTTTCTAACGGGCCAAACTGAGTAGGTTTATCCTGCCCCATCCACCTGAGGATGGAGAAAAGATCCAGTATCCGAAACGTTGTGGTTTTTGTCTTCTACATACCAGACGATGGATAGAGTCAAAATAAGCCTAATAGTTCTGCACAAAAACAAAACTGGTAGTTTCAATTCATTTGTGCTCTCTGTTGTTGAAGAAAATACATAATTACATATTTAATTAGTAATTCATTTGATCCAGTTTCATTATTAGAACAATAGTTACAGTTAATGTAATCAACATCTATATAATATTAATTAAATATTATCCAAAAATATATAAAGCAAACTCTTGCTATTTGCTGACTATGCATCAGGTATGACTTAGTATTAGTTGCAATAGGACCAGAATATGGAAGAGAATACTTGTACTCTGTTGTTTTATATGCTATTAATGAATTAGTAACAAAAGATGTCAGAAATGGTAGTAGTTAAGAATAGGAACAGAAGATGGCAACAATGACTGGCACTGGAAGATATGGTTGTGCATTGCAGCGTGTTTTATGTCTTAACATACATATATGTGACAAAATTTAGACATTTGACATTTAAATTTATTATAAACTGCTTTATTGAAGTTGGTTATTTATATACACACTAAACATACACACACATATGTTCAACATAATTATATGTCTATTTTCATTATTCTTGGTTTTGTCAATGATGGTTTAAACACATACATCACATAGTATCATACGACAGTATGATTAGTGAATACTGAATTGGAAGATATGGAAGGATGGTAAGGATTTAAGGATGTTGAAGGAAATATGCATGGGCTAACTTAAGGTGCTATCCTGGCATGGAGTGCGTGAGAAAAACCTGAACATAACAAGTCAAGATAACCAGTCTGCGGCCAATGATCTGAATTCCAGACTTCCATCATATGAAGCACAGGAATACTAATCAATTAAATGCAAAGTTTAGTTTGTTATATAATAAAATGTCAAATGATATTTACAGGACATGACTGTGCACGCTTGAGGCTGTAGTCAGTTTTCGAACATCCTTCAAGGACAGATATATTGCACTGAACAGGAGTGATGTTTCCTTATGGATTTTGTCAATATGGGATAAGTAAAAAAATGTTTAAAGAGTTCTCACAGGTAAGCATCTGGTGACCGCCTCTGTGATCTAGTGGTCAGAGTTCCTGGCTACAGATCCAGAGATCCGGGTTCAATTCCCGGTGCTACCAGATTTTCGAAGAAATAGTGGATCTGGAACAGGGCCCACTCAGCCTCATGAGGATAATTGGGGAGATATTTCAAGGAAATAGCAGCTCTGGTCTGGAAAACCGAAATTAACGGCTATCCACTAAAGTTGGCACTAACTTCGCCGATAAGCAGCGTTCGCTCAGTCGGTATGGTTCACTCACGGACTAAAACCATGGAGTTAAGCATCTGGCAGTGTGAAATGTGAAGACTGCAAATATACGAGAATTTTGTACCTCAGGAAATTGGATACCCTTAGAACATCTGCTACAGCATGTCCAAGAGATTTCAGGTGAAACCAGTGTGTTCTGAGGGACAAGAATTTTCCCATTGTATTACATAATTCACTAACAGTTGTTCAAATTCATAATTTCTTGATCAAGTTACAAAATGGTTCCATATTACAACTTCTTTATACATCAGGGAGCCACTACTACCAAATTCCTATTGCTTGCCAACCCCTACAAAATTTCCAAATTTGAGGATTATATTGAAGATTCTGAATGTAGGTATTATTTTTTGCAGTATTACAGAACGAATAGGTTTTTATATATTATGTGCTTCCTTTTGTGTATATACATTCTTATGTTGTGCATGCATGTTTCTTTATTTACATATGCACATAATGTCCATCTTCCATTGCTATACACTCTTCAGCAGTGCCAGAGTCAGGTGGGAAGTTTCTCCTTTCACAGCCATGAGCTCTCCCTTGTGGCAGTGTAAGGTTTTCACCCAAAGAAGGAGCACATTATATTCTTTGAGTAAAAGTAAAAATGTAAAGGTATCCCTGTAACAGGCCGTGAAGGCCCATAGGGATGTGAGATGTTGAGGGTCTCACATTATCTAGACAATCGGGTCGAAGATGGCGGTAAGGTTGTTAGCCTTACGCACCGGCCACACTTTACTCCCCAGGAAAATGATTTAATTAATTCCTGGTACTCATTTCTGTTAGAGGCTGAGTAGACCCCAGGGCCATAGTGCGGCTGGAAGGACTAAGTCAACTGAAAAAATCCAATGACCTCATAGGGACTTTGAACCTGCGACCTTCCAGCTTGTAGCATAGTCCCTGAACCAATTACGATACCACGTTAGAGTACAGAGATATAAATTTTAAGAATATTCAACAAAAACAGCCTCTTCAGGCACATCCCTTTCACTTCTGCAGCCACTTAACCCAGTGATGAGGCAAGAAATAACTTATGTTTCTGATGTGTGATACAATATGAATCTTATGCATGTCTTCTGAACAGATACTGTAACTTTCAAAGTTTCTTTATATTGGGCCACAATATAATAATATTTTGACCATACTAAGTATGTGAAAGAAACAACACTGCTCTTATATGAATGTGAAACTAAATAATATTATAGTACAGAATTTTTTTCAAGAATGAAACTTTAGTGAAGTCATTTATTATGAATACAATCAAAAGTTTAAGTTCAAACAGAACAAATACCGGTATCATGGCATTTCACTGCATAAAAATACAATAACAATTATAATAACACAGTAATGCAACATTCATAGTAGACTTAAAACACACTTTAAGTATACAATACAAAACAGAGCATCAGAAATGAAGTCAGTTTAGTCCAATTTGCAAGCAGATAACATTGCAGATGGGAAAACCACACCAATGTGCCAAAAATAAATAAACAAGTACTAGTAATCAGAATATATTAACCACTGATAAGAGAATTATTCAAACCTTGTGTAACTTGACACATTGCAAACCCAGTTGTGAATCCCACCACATGAAGCATGTAGTCAGCTATGGGAAATCATATACTAGTTATAAAACAGTGAAGGAAGTGAACTGATTCTTTCTACATTTTTAAAATACCAAACTTGCTCCTAATCTACACAGTAGATAGACAGAGGTACCCAGCATTTTAACAGCAACAACAAATACCAGAGTTAAAAGCAGAAAAACTACTGCTATTCAGATTACTGTCTTCTGGAATCTGGCACCATATAGTCTAATAAATAGGCACTGACATTTCAGAGGAACCTTCTACCTCCATTTTCTTCATCCTGAAAATGGCTGCAGCAGGTTCCTCTGAAGAAATGCTGGCACACACCACAAGACAGCAATCTTCAGATTCACAGCTGTGAGAACCTCAAATCTTACATACTACTATGCAGTTGTCGTCATCTACCTCAGATCTGCTTCCTCAGAACTGGAACAATTGCAGTTTAGTCCTGTAAACGGAACATCTTTAAATCCTAACCGAGACACTAAGGTACAAGGTCGACAGTAGGTATATCTGTGATGAAAATCATCATGGTCTTGGAACTGCCAGAGGGGTGGTAGTTGGTTATCATCAGCCACAGGGGCCAGTCATGGTACTCTGCCTGGTGGGCAAAGTGGGCATCCACTCGGGGCTCCTGTCACATAGGCCACGTGATTTAAGCCTCCCAAACTATTTCTGAACAGCTCAAGAATATACCCATGGAAGCGTTAGTCTACTTTATAGAAAGTTTTCAAAAATTACATCAATAATTTTACACCAAGATGGATTTTAGATTATGTTTTTAATTTGTTTATACTTTTTTCACTTTTGTTCATATAAATATATATATATATATAAATGAAACTATACAGACTTTCCTCTGCTCAAAAAATGGTGGGAGGGAGGATCCAAAATCAAACTTTGCCCGGAGACCACCTCTGACTTAAATTTTTTTCTTTTCTGTGGGTTATACAATGACACATTTTCAGTACTGAGACTATAGTGTTGAACGGTATGAAAAAAAAAAACTCAGTGATTTCAGTCCACAAGTGAACCATACCGACCGAGCAACCGCCACTTGTCGGCGAAGTTTTAGTGCCAACTTTTTGCGGATAGAGGGGGTATCACGTGGTCAGTACAATGAATCCCCATGGACTTTAACTTTGGTTTTCCAGACCGGAGCCGCTATTTCCTTGAAATAGCTCCTCAATTACCATCACAAGGCTGAGTGGACCCCGTTCCAGACCCACTACTTCTCTGAAAAAATCTGGTAGCGCCAGGAATCGAACCCGGACCTCTAGATCTGTAGCCAGGAACGCTGACCACTAAACCACAGAGGCGGTCATTAAACAGCATGACAGATGAATAATATATTAGAAAGGATTCTGTTGGAACTGATTGTAGTCAAATCAATGTGGTATCCTGGCATTTACCTGGGAGGACTATCAAAAATCACATAATACCTCGGTCAGGATAGCTGGTGTCCCAGCTGGATTTCAAACTAAGCACTTCCCAAACACAAATCCAGAGCATTACCTCCACCTCAACGTGTTCAGTTACTACCCTAAAATTTCTCTCATCATGGTCTCCATGCTAGTTTTGGCTGTGGTGGTGATCATGGTCACAGAGATGCTGATGATGGTGTGGTGATGGTCATTCATGGTGGATGGCTGTAATCATCAGTCATGGTAGCCCATCATGGTCACTGTGGTGATGAACACGGATGGGAAGGTGATGTTGACCATGGTAATGGCAGCAGTGAAGAAGAAGTGGAAAAATAAGGAGGAAGGAATATATTACACTGGGATTAAAGTGTTTAACAGTTTACCTGGTCCAATAAAGGGTTTGTCCCATAATACAAAACAATTCAAATCGGTCTTGAAACTTTTTTTGTACTTCCATTCATTTTATATATTAGATAAATATTTTAAATACAAGATGAATTAAACCTTTTATAATGATGTTTATATAGTGCATTGCATAAATTATGGGCACATGGTAGTGTAGTTAGTTGAGGCACTATGTTACAAGCTGGAAGGTCACGTGTTCAAGTCTTGATGAGGTAGACTTTTTTCAATGTACCTAATCCTTCCAGCTGCACTATGGCCCTGGGGTTGACTCAGCCTCTAACAGAAATGAGTACCAGGAATCTTCATAGGAGGGAAAAGGATGGCTACCACGTAAGGCTGACAACCTCACTGCCAACTGTGAGCCAATGTGGGAGCTATGATTTCAATAAGGTATTACTGCCAAGTTGATAAGTCCTATATCTTTGTTAAATTACTGAATTATGTATAGTTATTATTACTTTTGTGAATGTAGTTGTAAGGTGACTAGTTCTGTGTTTAGAACTAATGTGAGCATATGTGACATGTTCTATATCTGATGGTTTTGGTAGCCAGTAAGGATTTATAGAATTAAAAAAAAGATATAGATACAGAGGAGGATGAGGATGAGGATAAGGATAAGGATAAGGATGACAAGGATGAATGAGGAAAATGAATGAATAAATGAGGATGAAGATCAGAATGAGGATAATGAGGATGAATGAGGAGAAGGAGAAGAGAATGAAAATGAGGATGAGGATGAATGAGAATGAATGAGGAGGAGGAGTAGGAGGATAAGAATGAGCATGATGAGGATAAATGAGAATGAATGAGGAGGAATAGCATGAGAATAAATCAGGAGGAGAAGAATGAGCATGATGAGGATAAATGAGAATGAATGAGGAGGAGGAAGAGGATGAGAATGAGAATGATGAGGTTAATGAGAAAGAGAAGAATGAATGAGGAGAAGGAGGAGGATAAGAATGTGGATGATGAGGTTAATGAGAAGGAGGAGAATGAATGAGGAGGAGGATGAGAAAGTGGATGATGAGTATGAATGAGGAGGAGAATGAATCAGGAGGAGGAAAAGGGAGGATAAGAATGCAGATTATGAAGATAAATGAGAAGGAGGACAATCAATTACAAGGAGGAAGAGGATGAGAATGCAGATGATGAGGCTGAATGAATAGGATAAGAATGGGGATTATGAGGATATATGAGGAGGAGCAGAATGAAGAGGAGGAGACTGTTATTGGTAATAATTTTCTAAGCATGTTTATGGCTGTGGTTTATTGTTTAAGCGGCAGAACTACACACACGCTGCATGGTAAGATTGCACTAGCATTCTACCACAATACAGGGAACAGCTGCTATGGGTCCCAATATTCACTGTTGTACCTGGAACTGTAAGATAGGGACCCTTGTGATCCTGTACCTCAAGGAGGGACGTTGTAGAACTGGGACAGCTGGTACTGCGACAAACTGGGTACTGTTCCATTTGTCCACTCCTGTTAATGTCCTGCAAAGCTGACCACACAAGCACCCCTTTCATGCACTTATCATCCAACCATGATCGCAGTGCTATTTTTTCAATCAACTGATTGTGTTTACTGCAGTGCTTGCAGGCCTTTCTATTCCTACCACAGCCCATAGGCACAAAACATGCAAAACTACTCGATGCCAAAGCTCAGTATTTTGTATGTTTCTGTACCACTAAAATTCATTTCCAAAGGAATAATGAACATAAAATTTGTAGGCACAGTTTTTTCATAAAATATTAACATATTCACTGCCAATAATGGCAGACAGTGTTCAGCAGATCACAGTCCACCAGTAATGAAGTCTCATTACAGCACCTTAAACCAGTCATCCAAACATTACATTCCTTCTCCAGTGTCATACAACTGAAGCATGTTAAAAACTTAATTTTGGACAATTGAAATATGTATCAATGTTTACAGATATTTCATGTATGTCTTTGTTCTTCCAATTAAGAAAGTGGTTTTTAGTGTTTTAATAGCATATACATGCTCTGCTGTGAATATGTTAATAAAAAACTCTTTTTCACTTAATTGAAATATGTAAAAATTGTGAGAATGACAAAGCACATGTTACACATGCAGACAGGAATTCTAGGGCATGGATTGAAATTGGGATCGAACACTGTGAAAGTGTCGCAGATACAGTTATAATTTTTAAAATCTACAATTCTAGTAATTTAGAAGTGGAAAGAAAAAAGGAAAATGAGAAGAGAAAGAATTAAAAAGGAAAGCACAAGAACACCCCATTTTATTTCAATTACTACAGGAGACTCTGGGTTTATATACTTTACACTCTATTAAAGCACAATAGATCACTGAACGTCGCAATGCTAGGGCCAGTTTTGTGGCCCATCCCTCATACTCATACTCATTACAGTCTATTACAATACTGCTGGTTGATGGAGAACTGAGATAATAATCAGTAAAGAGGGGCCAATTTAATTAATGTGTATAGATATTTCTCTTCCTCACACGGTAGTGTAGTTGGTTGATGCACTATGCTACAAGCTAGAAGGTCGCGGGTTCGAGTCCCAATGAGATGGACATTTTTTCAATTTATCTAATCCTTCCAGCCACACTATGGCCCTGGGGGTGAACTGAGCCTCTAATATAAATGAGTATCAGAAATCTTCCTGGGGGCAAAGGGTGACCGGCTTGTAAGGCTGAAAATCTCACCGGTATCTGCAAGGCAAATTTCTAGAGAAAATGTGGGAGCCTTGATGTCTCACAACCCTATGGGCCTTCACAGCCTGTTAAAGGGATAGCTTTACCTTTATTTATATAATTTAATGTCTATCATAAACTTTTGAAAATGTGATAAAATATACTGCATGTCCAAAAAGTTGCTTTACTGAAACAGTGAAGTGATTAACTGTGATTACTTTCTCTTGCATTCATATTTGTACTTGCAAGAGGAGATAACATTGTGGTTACATGAGCACATGTTTCTATCAGATGTTGTGTTACTGGTGTATTCATTCAACTTGGATTTGGATGTAAATAAAGTAGTTTTTCCATGGAATGTGAGTATAACCTCAGCAAAGCAGGCTCAGGGTCATTCTGCATATAGAATAACATGCTTACAATGCCAGAAATAAAGCTGCCATTTGAGTAGCACTTCTAGGAACTCAACCATTTTAACTGAGACTCAACTTTCAACAGCATTTATTATGAAGGAAGCAGAGTGGGGCATCTATCAGTATAAGTAATATGTTTTTGGACATTATCCATCGTCTTGTCTATATCTAAAAACTGTCCTGTTTATTTTTCAAGACACAACGTTTCAGAGACTGGATTCTGTCTCCGTCTTCAGGTAAAACCTACTCAGTTGGGCCCAATCGATAGAGCTGGGCTCCAGAGACCGGGACTAGCTCTACCTATTGGGCCCAACTGAGTAGGTTTTACCTGAATACGGAGAGAGAATCCAGTCTCCGAAACGTTGGGTTTTTGAAAAAGAAACAGGACGGTTTTTAGATATAGACAAGACGCTGGATAAGATCAAAAAGCATAATATTTGTACCAATGTACCATCATCACAAACTTTTAGATCTCATCTATCAGTTTGCTGAAGTCAGATCAATTAACAGTGGAGATCAAGAGAATGGGTCAAATGTACAATAGAAATAATCTGATATTCTTGAAAAATCATTTCCCTTAATTTGAATTAGTGGAAAAGTTCAACAGAAAATTGAACAGGAAGTCTATCATAAACTTTTCTGACTTACTTGCCATTCCTCCTTCCTCCTGTATCCCTTACCCCTCCCTTGTATTTTTCATACATAAGAAAGTACAAATAGATGTTGTCTGACAGTTAATGTAATCTGTGACTATGCCTTCTGTAAATGCATAACATTCACACACATATTCAACCATAAACCATATCCTGTTATGTATCACAGATGATTTGACATATCAATGATATCAAAAATGCTAACAGGAAGTCAGTCATCTGTAGGCCATGCAACCTAATTAACTGCAGGGACATCTGGTAATTTATAATTTGAAGAGGGCTAATGGTTCCTTTTAACATTAGGTCACTCTTACCTTATGTACACAGTTACTATAGTCTTCTATTTTGAGAAGTAAGTGAGTATAAAATTCACTTTTATGAACACCTACTTGAAAGGCAAATGCAATTATGATCAGCCTACTAATCTATATGTTCCTCCATGTTTAATAATAAAACCTTTCTTTAATACAAATCAAGATTAAACAGGTGCATACTCAGCTCTGTGCCACTGAGTCATGATAAGAGAGGCATAAGTCAAAAGAGTCTACTGGAACTATGCTCTCAAATGGGCTTGGTGTGCAAATCTCTGACGATCTCAATGACTACAAATGAATAATGAACACTGGTGCAATAATGGCAAGCAGGAGAGATTTGAAGTACTGTGAGAAACCTGTTGCATCACCGCACATCCCAGAAAGAAGTGTACTAAGATTTAACATGAGTCTTTATAATAAGATGCCAGTGACTAAGAGGCTGTACCATGATATCCATTTCTGAATCATAACAATATTCGAGTGACCTGACAATAACTGATCATCTTTTATTTCTTATTAATGCACTAATAATTCTTATTTATTAAATTTCAAAAATATAAACATTCAATGTAACTGAACACAAGGACAATATCAGAGCATATATTACTGATCTAAAAATATAACTCAGTAAGAACATTATATTACATCCGAAGGTCAAAAATAACTTTATCATCTTCCTACATTATGTTAGGTAATAGTGTATCCTGAATTTAGTAACTTTTCCCATCAGTATGAATAATGCATGTCAATTAACATTTTCAAGGCTCAAATTCTAACGCATCTCTCAGGCAGAATCTATGTTAAAAGACTATGAATATATCTGGAAAAGTCAAACGTTCACTTTCCTTCTTCCTAGGGTGGGGGAGCTCACTTTAGCGACACTGTCAGTAGCTAGTAGGTCAAATGTTAGGGTAAATGATGAGCTGGAATGTATTAGTGTGGAACTGATCATGGTCTAATCAAGGTTCTACCATCGTATTTGCACAGAGCGACTGTTTGTATACTAGATCTGGCCTTTCTTTGCTCACAATTCAGACTTAGTATTCCTACTACAACATGAAGAATTATAGATGACATAAATATTTATCCTAGTATCACATAAGTTAGCATTATAACAGACATATTATTTCCTTAAGAAGCAATAAGTAAATTGATATTAGTTCACAGGGTACAAGATGGCAAGAATAATCATATATCTTTATATTATGAATGACATGTTCTTTTAAAATCCCTAAGGCAACAGAATGGCCATAAAAAAATCCATGACGTTAAAACTACACATAAATTGAATTCACTATTAAAGATCGCCAACAAAATAAGATATGATACTTAATGTTCTACAGTGGTGAGACTTACTTTTAGATGAGGAATGATTTCGTCCTATTTCCGCCAAGGATCGTATAATAGGTAGCCTAGACATATTAGATGATGAAGTTTCTTTACGACGCTCATGTTGATGTCGATGACGACGTAACAAAGCTTCTCTCACCTGCAAAGTAAATTGTTTCATGTTACTAAGTATGTTTATAAAATTATAGGTTCATTTCTCATATCAATTGCTATTATGTATTTAACCATCCTCACCATTATCTTTTCTTTCCATAGCAACATTCTCTGCCTTTGAAGAGTCCACCAAAATATATGAACATGTTTCCTAAAGCAGCATGTGTTACTGTATCATGAGACCAATGTGAGAAAAAGAGATATCGCAAACTGAACTGAAAAACACGGGATATTTTGTGATCAGTACTCAATATGTAGGATCTGAGGTTTTCACAGCGGTGATTATGAACAATCCTGACTTCTGGGATGTGGCACCATGTGGATCTTGTATGAACCGATGTTTCAGAGGAATGTGTCGCCTCCATCTTCAGAGTAGAAAAATCCGCGAGCAAGGAACTAGTGTGAGGTGGCTAGCAGACTGAGCCACCAGTTGAAAACACCCAGCTATATAAGAACAGAGGGAGGGAGAGTTGATCACATGGGAAATCAATAGGGGAGAGGGGTGGGGTCAGTAGAGATCAGGAAGGCCAGGCAAGCAGGTAGAAAAAGGTGGGCCAGAGCAGGTAGAGGAAAGTTGACAGGGGTGGGGAAAAGTCAAGGCTACTGAGTGGGCACTGACCCAGCAGCTTCAGGGCAAGAGCTGCCAAGTGTGTATTGACCTGCATAGCCTTTAGATCTGGCATCATGTTCAGGGAGCAGATGTGAGGTATTCCATGACTTGCTGAGACAAAAAGAACTCTCTGTTCATATTGTCGGGATAGAGCTCAATTTCAATGACCTACCTAACAATGTGATCCATGTATCGGGTTTTAGTAGCGAGGATTGAAGTATTGTGAAATTGAATGTTATGGCCCAATTTGACACTGAGTTCAGCCATGGCTGACTTGTCTGGATGTTCTAGATGGATGTGCCGCTACTGGACAAATATGAAGCACAAGAAATACTGGGGATCCTTAACTGGACTCAGGCAAGCAAAGGGACTCATATGAGGACCCTCTACTAAAAGAGCGAAGGAACTGTTGAAGTTAAACAGGAACCAGCTACGATGGGTGGTAGGACTACTTACAGGACACTGTCACCTCAAAGGACACCTCTTCAAATTGGGACTACATAACAGTCCAATTCATGAGAGGTGTCAAGAAGAAAACGAAACAGCCACACATATCCTGTGCAAATGTGAGGCCTTAGCTTATTTACGATTGTGCCACATGAGTCAATATTTTATGGAACCAAGTGAATATTTCAATGTCCCCACATACAAAATCCTGTGCTTCATTCGTAGCTCAGGATTGTTGGAGGGATAATCAGAAGGGGAGGCACAATAGATCACTGTGGTCGTGGTGCAAGGGCCAAGAAGGCCCACCCCTTATATATTCATTCATTCATTCATTCATTCACTGGATGTGCCGCTGATGCTCCTTCAACACTGTGTCCACGGAACGGCCTGTCTGCCCAATGTAGACCTTGCTGCACCCACAGGGGATTGTGTATACACCCAGGGTCCTTAGTCTTAACTATCTAATTTCCACCGGTCAGTCAAAGATAACTTAGGATGATTATTAAATAAAGACATGGCAGTGGACAAAAGCAATCATGGACAAATTTGCAACACTATCCCAGCATTTACCTACACAGATTAAGGAAAAACACGAAACATTTCAGTCAATATAGTTGAGCTCTGGGTTCAGATTTAAACCCGTACTGCCCACATATGAAACAGGAGTGTTAACTGGTTAACTGCAATGTTTAGTATGTTGGCATGTGTCAGACAGCTTTAAAATAACCGATCTACATCAGTAACACCAAATTATATTTATTACATTTCACATATTTCTTTTAAATAATGTTTCAATTTACCTTCTCTCTGCAATCAAAGGGCAGAGACCCTGCGTTGACCATATTATCCAGAACAAGATCTGCAACTTGTTCAAGAGAGGATGCATCCATGTCTAGCATGACAGTACCATTGAGTAACATGCTGCGGAGCTCAAACAGAGAATGAAGCGTGAGTGTGGCTACATGAGGCTTTGACCACCTGTTACCACCTTCTTCAACATCTTCTTCAAATTTTATCCATCTGTAAGAATAGGAAATGAACTCTTTGTTGGATGCTTACTAAGTACCAGATTTCATATTCAAAGATTTAATCATAAATACATTTTCTTAGCTTCCCATATAAGGAGTAGAGGAATCAAAGCATTGAAGGTGTCAACAAAACAGTTGACATTTGCTCTCCATTAAAAGGGTTCATCTATAAATGAAGGAAATAATGAATTATAAATAATGACATAATTTTGTAATATATTTTCAGTCAAAATATACATGTTATTTGAAATTTGTCAGATGTAATTTTAGAAGATCTGTACCTTCAATGAGTCTTTTTTTTTAATACTCCATAAAGATCTTCTAGGTATGTCATGATCTATACAGAAACAATGGAAAGAAGTCTCATAGATCCACCCCTTTGTAAATCTCTATGTATTTGTTATGCTCCTCTTACCAACATACTTCCAATTATATACACACACACACACACATATATATAGAATATATATATATAATTTTGCATAGTCGGTATATTGATAGTTTACACTACAGAGGAATTGGCTTTATTTTCAAGATCAATCATCACCTGTTTTAGGATTAGATTACATGTCGCTTTCATTTCAAGCCTGCACTGGTTTCATCATTAATAATACTACTACCGGCAAGAACTGAAAGCGCAAAAATTCAAAGATCCTTCAACGTATGACATTTGTGCAAATGTCAGTCATGTGTTTCTAATGTTATTGGTGCAAGGGGTTTAAGGAAGCACATACATATATGTAAATAAAACCACAAGCCTAACTTTCCTCTTAAAGAAAGGGGGCTAAACAGTGTATCTTACAAATTTAACAGAAAAACGCTGTAAATCTCACTAGAACAAAACTGTAATCTTTCTGAGTTAAGGTGCTTACAGGGATGTGGACATGATAATATCAAAATCCTATTTTTCCTTATAAAGTAAGGAAAATATGAGGTTAAAAGCACAGATCCAAGCTCAGACTGTATTCCTGTCTCCGCTATTTGGCGTATACAAACCTGAACCATTTTCAAACTGAATATTATATATACTTAACCTCAGAATGCAAAGTTCACCATGCTATACTTCCTATAGCAAAAATGTAAACATGCTCAGATTTATCAAGCATGACTGTCTTTCAATTCAATTACTTTAAACCCCAGATAAGTATACTTAAGTTGTCCTCCTGCTTTCTTAATTCCAAGTAATGTGTTTACATTTGGTACTTCAATATTTACTCTGTAAGAAACGTGGGAGTGCAGACAAAGTGAATTACAGGATGGACCAGCACAGGGTAACACTGAATTTGACTGTTCCTACAAAATTTAATTCAAGTTTCCAGAAATATATTAATAAAATATGTAACATTAATTAGTATGATGTACCACGAATAACTCAGTTTATACTCTTTGTAGATCTAGTCCACTTTACATAAAGAACACGCTTCCATATGACAAGCCATGAATAATCAGTTTATATTATAAAAAAGAAATGACTTGTCCTATATCACGTATAATGATCCATGGATATGAAATAAATAATTAAATAAATAAATAAATATACTGTTTGTAGATTTAGTCCACCTTATATATGAGTAAACCACACACCCTTCTGTATGATGTGCCATGAATAACTCAGTTTACACTGTATGTAAATTTAATCCATTTTGCACACCCATCAGTCAGTTTTAAACAGAAAGCTCTGATAGAATTATTACACCTATGTTTCTTCAGATACTCCTCCCAGCATGATGAGACCAATAAAAGTGACAGATTAATGACTGTACAATTTTGTGATTGTTTCTGCATAAAATTTACAATAATATGAGATATTATGCTTAAGATACTGTATTTTGGTTTAAAGATCATAGCAGGCTCCAATTGTATTTTGATCCAAAGAAGGAACAAGAGATTTTCTCTTCTCCACGGTATCCAGACCAGCCTTGGGGTCCATCTAGCCTTCTTCTACCCAATGGGCAACTGGGGGCTCTTATCCTGGTTGCAAGGTGGCCAGGCATGAAGCTGACTTCTAACCTCCATCTAATGTTGAGATCAAGAATATGTGGAGCTGTACCTCCATTCCCCCCCACTAACTCTATTCTTCTTTTGTGGATTATTTTACGATACTGTTGGTGTCTCTCATTATAGAGCACTGAATATTACTGTTTGTTAACTTTATTTGGAAAGGATATGAAAGGAAACACTAATAGCCTAAATGAGGTACCATTCTGGAATTTGTTTAGAGAATGAGGAAATCACTAAAAATCACAGGCAAGATAGCCAGTGTCCTAGTTGACATTTTAAGCTGGTACCTCTTAAATGTAAGTCTAGGGAATCACCAGACAACCAACCGTCTCTGATTCCCATCACCTTCATAGCACTGTGCTTAATTAAGCATGCATAAAGGTAAAAAAAGTTAAGGTTATCCCTGTAACAGAATGCAAAACCCCTTAAGGTTATGAGACGTTGAGGCTTCCACATTTTCTAGACAAGACCACTTAAGGTTATGAGATGTTGAGGCTTCCACATTTTCTAGACAATCAGCTCACAGATGATGGTGAGATTGTCAGCCTTATGTACTGGCCCCCCTTTACGCCCCAGGAAGATTCCTGGTGCTCATTTATGTTAGAGGCTGAGTTAACCCCAGGGCCATGAATGCAGCTGGAAGGATTAGGTCAACTGAAAAATCCAATGGTCTCACTGGGAATTGATCCTGTGACCTTCTGACTTGTAGCACAGTGCCTCAACAAATTATACTACTGCAAATTAAGCACAGGCACAATTTCTTGGGCTGGAGGCTATAATAAAATCAGACGAAACCATCTACCAATCCACTCATATAACATTTCGATCAGTATGTATCAATAATTACTAAAACCGGTTACCTGGCGGTTTCTTTCCATTCCATGTCATTGCCATCATGCACCAACTCTCCCATTTCAGCAAAGAGAGGATGTGGTTCATGCATTCCGTCATCGACATCTTCTCCGAGTATGAACTGTACACGCTGTGCTGGCGGTGTGACTGCAACATTAAGAGTAATTACGGTAACAAATCTGTATAATGCTGACCAATAGTTAGAAACTACAAGCAGCTGCTCTGAAGATGGAGGCAGTAGGTTCCTCGGAAATGTCTGCACCTATCAAAACACATGTCACATCCCAGAAAATAGTAATCTGCAATTACTTTTATTTTCATTATATACACTGCTACATTTTGATATATAAGTTACCCTAAAGTAATACACGTGTTTATACAGCATAAATGAGCTAAAACAGATAAAACCGGCAATTCTGGATATTACAGGACAGGAAGAACTATGAAATGGTGGAAGGATCTGGCTTTGTAATATCTGCACCAGGCTTCCATAGGGTTAATACTGGAAAGGATGATGACACAAACACCAACACAAGAGATGGTATATAAATCAACTACAACACAAACCATCAGCGAGAGTTAAGACAAATCAGTAAAGCTACTCCTTATCTCTGGAGAGAAGGGACTAGTTCTATCAACTGGTCCAAACTGAGTAGATTTTTACCTGAAGATGGTGATAGATTCCATTCTCCTAAACATTGTGTTTTAGATAAAAGAAACGGGATAATGTGTAATGTCGCAAAACACAATAATTGTATTGATGTACCATCATCACAAGCTTCTGGAACTTATTCATGATCCATTATGGTCACCTCATGTTCTTAGGGTAAAGATGTCTAGGAGTCTTACAATGGAATGGATGTGTAGAATGGGGGAAACAGCAAACGCATTCAGTGATTAAATTAGGAAACTTCCAGGAAAGTAACAACTATATAAACAACAGTCAATATACACCAACAATTTCACAGTTTTAAATATGACATTACAGCATGTGTCCAAATATGTCACTTATTGAACTAATGTGAATGCCAGCATAAATAGTTTCAGTATCCATTTAATAAGTTGTATAGGCCTTACATATATAAATTAGTCAATATGCTAATTTTGCAATAAATTTACCTCATTACTGCATGGAAATTAACTAACTCCATGGAGAAGAGTCCTTCTTGAAAAGCTAATAGTGTCCAGCTAATCAAGAAATACTCAACTCACCTCTATCTGGTGCCGAGGTCAAGAACAGTGGAGCTGTACCACTACTCCCCTTTATGTCTTCATGGCATAATAAGTAAAAAGAAAAAAATAGAGGTATCCCTGTAACAGGCCGTGGAGAGCGGCCTCTGTAGTCTAGGGGTAACGTTCCAACCTCATGACTCAAGGTACGCGGGTTCAAACCCGGCGGAGGTCATGGAATTTTTAAGGGCGGAAAAATTCAGGGAATAAGTCCTCCGGGAGGGACTTTAAGCCGTGGGTCCCGTGTCGTAGTAGTGTCCAAGTAGTTTCCAATGCCTCTGGTAGATGGGGAAAGTATCGAGGTACCAAGGGCCGACCTCGTTGGCTGAACGGGGCTGATAGCATGCACCAGTACTGGTAGGGTATGGCGACTGGTAGAATATCAAAGGGGGAAGTACAATAGACTATTAGTCGTGGTGCATGGGGAAACCCACCCCCTCTAATAATAATAATAATAGTAATAATAATAATAACAGGCCATAGAGGCCCATAGGGTTATGAGATGTTGAGGTTCCCACATTTTCTAGACAATTGGCTCACAGATTGTGGCAAGGTTGTCAGCCCTATGCGCCAGCCGCCCTTTACCCCCAAGAATATTCCAAGAATATTCCTGTTACTCATTTCTGTTAGAGGATGAGTCGACTCCAGGCCATAGTGGGGCTGGAAGGATTAGGTCAATTGAAAAACTCCAATGACAACAACGGGACTTGAACCTGTGACCTTCCGGCTTGTAGCATACCTCAAACAGCTACACTACCGCATGCCCCCTTGATGGCACAGTGCTTAGTCGGTCACAGAAACAACTTTACCTTTACTCAGTCAAGAAATATCCAGCATTTTATATTACATATATTCTTCTACTCACCATTTTGTTAAAACAGTGTGGACCAACTGGATATTTACTTACAAAAATTTGGCATGTATAAGTGAGGATGTCCATCTGTAATATGTAATTAATCTTCATTCGTATGTTTTGCATCCTGTCATGTATGTCACTACTAACTGATTTATCAACAATTTGAGTTTATCAGTTATTTATTAGAAGTATAAAATTGTTGTGATCAACAAACATATTTACATAGTAATGTAATTAGTGACTAAACCTCGTCTTTCAATGACTTTTTTTTTTAATTTCGCTTAGTGGAGGGTTGAGTCAAACTGGTTCCACTCAGCACGGTGGCCACAGATTGGCCTATTATACCTGCCCTGGGTGTTTATGATGATGGAGAATTTGGTGGAATGAAGATTGACAGGGGAAACTAAAGTACTCAGAGAGAACCTGACCCAGCGCCACTTTGTGCACCACAAATCCCACTTGACCAGACCCAGGATCGAACCCGGGCCACTGTGGTGCAAAACCAGCGACTAACCGCTTCAGCTATGGTGCGGCCCTTCAATGAGTTAATTTTGTAATAGAATCAGTAAACTACAAACATTTTTTCCATAATCCTCAATGCATTCAAACATAACCCAGTTCATCATTACTTAAAAGAAACAAGGCGAGGTCACTGATCTGACAGTTCCTCTGCGTTCCATTTGTTCAGTGCCGCCACAAGCCAACTCTGGTGGAAGGAAATATAAACGTCATGTTCCCCAACAATTCAAACTCAAAATATTATATTCATATAAATATTTTTAAAAAATCACAAATTATTTTATGACACTTTATCAAAGGTCAGAACTTCTATTGCTGTTTAAATTTGTCCCTGTGGTTAAGTAATTAAGGAACTTGCCATGAAAACATAGAGGGAGGGCTGAGGAATAACTCTACAAATTCTTAACTTCAGCACAGGATAGATGTAAGTGGTCAACTTCGTGCCCGGATATTTATCTAACTTAGTACATGACAAAAAACAGTTTATAAGTGAAATAAGGGATGTCCTAATACATAATCCATCATATACTGTTGATGAATTTTTGCTCTTCTGTCGGGATCAACAGCTAAGGAATAGAAGGGGAGTGCATGCTGACTTATGGATGTCCCACAGTAGGCATTAATATAGACATTAAGCGTAAGTGTAAGTTAAGGAAGGAGAATTATTATGTATTGCTAATTATCTTGTTGGTATAATTGTATGTGTAACATTGTATCTATTTATTTGAGGTATTCAGTTTAGATTTTAACTATGCTTGAATTGATGTTTCTGTGATTTTATCTGTGATTGTCTTGTGACTGTTGTTTGACAAGTTTTATATTCAGTGCCAGTTGCACACTTGTGAATACTCTGAAACGCTGATGTATGTATGTATGTATGTATGTATGTATGTATGTATGTATGTATGTATGTATGTATGTATGTATGTATGTATGTATGTGTGCCTTCATTTCTTGAAATGGAAGTGCCACAGCAAATTGATAGATAGAAATCTTCTTTGTTTAGGTGTGAAAGGACATCCAGTGACCATGTTCTCATTTAGAAAGCCTCTGGAAACTACTGAAATCACAATTTCATCTCTCAGTACTTTAATTGTAAATTGATAGCAATCTTCTTTAAAGAATTTGTTTTACTTACAAAAAAGTTATATATTTTAAGTTGCCATAGAATATATTTCTAATTTTTAAATGAGGGATAGGGAAATGTTGGCTTATGATATAACTACAAGTACAGCTGCATACCTATACACCAACAATAACTTATGAATCAAGTAGTGGATTCATAAAATTTGGTATAAGCATCATACCATTACAAGTCACACCAATGTACCTTTCAAATTCCTGTCATTAAGAATACCAACATGGCAGCAGTGTAAGCCTTTAAGTTGGGAGCTAGTTATTGCTAGCCTCAAAATATAGACTGAAGTATTCAAACGAAGGTAAGATATCAAAGGTTCTCCCCAGAACTTCTGGTTACTTTTTAATTGTTTGTTGCATCCTGTTGTGTATTTTAATGAATATTAGAGTTAATTTTACCGACCACACAACACGTTTTTTATTTACTGTCGCACTACATGTTTCAACCTCAAGAGGTCATCCTCGGGTGTACGAACACAGTTGCACAATCACACGCAATCACATTCGTTTTTCCACTTATTTNACGAATGTGATTGCGTGTGATTGTGCAACTGTGTTCGTACACCTGAGGATGACCTCTTGAGGTCGAAACATGTAGTGCGACAGTAAATAAAAAACGTGTTGTGTGGTCGGTAAAATTAACTCTAATATTCTGGTTACTTTCTAAATCACAGTTCTGTCATTTCTTGGTTTGGTACATGTATGCAACTTAAAGAATAATATAGTTCCTTTATCTTTGCAAGTTCACTGATTTTACTGACTAAACAAAATATTTTCTGTCTATTAAATTCCATTTATACTACATATCAGTTTGACCACCTCTTCCCAATAAAAACATGCAATAACGCATTAGTACTGAATATTTTTGTAATGTCAAATTTGACACTGATGGTAATTTCTAGTGTTTGTTAACAATTAATCTAAAATTATAATGGTCTACCACATAACAGTGAATTGCATCAAATATATTCAAGCTAAAGCGGCAAAACAATGTTAACTATAATAAAAGGTAAGATACTTATATATAGGAGAAAATTAAGCATGAAGTCTTGTATATTCAACTAACAAAAAGCTCAGGATAATGTTATTTTTACTATTAATTAAAGAATAATATAACAGACCAGTGACAGCAAAGAAAATGACATAACTCATAAACTTATATTATACTTTGAGAACAATATGTACACACCATTAAGCAATATATATCAATTTACTTATCTTGACTTAATAATTTATACCCCAGCTTTTGTGATATAAAGATAAATCAAACCAGTAACATGTAAGAAGCATATTGTTTGTATTAATCCTTCATGTATGATCTGATCAAGAAAGTGCTTTTTATCATCTTACTAAGGAAAATTCCAGTGGATAAAGTCCAAGGATGGCTTGAATGCAGGCAGCCCACTTAAAGTGCTTAAGTAAAGTCGATATAATGTCAGAAATCAACATCAGACAAAACACAAGTAATCTGGTTCACAATCCAGTTAATTCTACTATCAGAAAATCTTCTGTTGCTATATACTAACATTAAGCCCTGGCTCTGTAGTCAACTGGAAATTTCCCAACATCAACCATGTCACATGAAGGGGGGGACTTTCTACATTTAAGGACACCTGTCATATAAGTTGTGTGACATAAATTTTGCATTTATTAGAGGCAGATTTCAAACTGACAACCCTTATTTGTGCCCCAAAATATCAAAGGGAAAAAATTAACCCATAAGAATGATGCAATTTGATGACTGATTATCAGTTAACAACATATGTTGAAATGCATACACCAACATGATATGAGCAAAAATACAATTCAAAAATGAGTATCAATACATTTTGAAGGGTTTTAAAAACGTGGAGTTGATTACACAGGACTTATCTAACAATACAGGATAATTTCATTTGCCACAGACTTTTTGAAGGGATGGTTCTTTTTGGCAAAAATTAAATCATCTAACACTTGATGAGAATTAGCATACTGGAACACATACTTCAAATGAACAAAACACTGACTACATTCATAATAACATTTCACTGAATAAATGTATATTCAAACCTTCTTTCAGGATACAATCTATATGGCCACGCCATATCTCAAGCATTTAGTCGCTGGCTTCCCACCACAGCAGCCCAGGCTCGATCCCAGGTCTGCTTATGTGGGATTATGTGGACAAAGTGGCGCTGGGGCGGGTTTTCTCCGAGTACTTCGGTTTCCCCTGCCAATCTTCATTCCACCAAATTCTCCATCATCATAATCAACTGGGGCAGGCTACAATAGGCCAATCAGTGGCCACCGTGCAGAGTGGACCTAACTGGACTCCACCCCCCACTAAGCAAATTTAAAAAGAAAAATACAATCTATATGGCCAGATCACAATTCATATTAATGAGCAACATAAACAATCACAGTGTTTCTGAAGATCATCTAACATGAATACAAAAGGAAGACTTAATATTTTTAAATTTGAAGACCATGCATATGAGACTTAAAAATTGAGTTCCTACAACCCAGAAAACATTCTCCATCTCAATTACACAGATGAACCAATTTAAAGTAAAGTAAAGCTATCCCTGTACCAGGCCGTGAAGGCCCATAGGGTTGTGAGACGTTGAGGCTCCCACATTATCTAGACAATCGGCTCAAAGATGGCAGTAAGGTTGTCAGCCTTATGCGCCGGCCGCGCTTTACTCCCCAGGAAAATTATTTAATTAATTCCTGGTACTCATTTCTGTTAGAGGCTGAGTAAACCCCAGGGCCTAGTGCGGCTGGAAGGATTAGGTCAACTGAAAAAATCCAATGACCTCATCGGGACTTGAACCCGTGACCTTCCAGCTTGTAGCATAGCCCCTCCACCAAATACGCTACCACGTACCCCGATGCACCAATTAGCATAGTTTATTCTGAGAATCATATAAAGCACATACATACACTCTACAGGCAAAGTGCACAGATTCTTAGTAATAAGTACAGCAGTAAGCACTGTGTTTTATAGGGTTAAATATTAATTTACAAGAAAGGCATTATTAATTATTATGCAACTTAAAATGAACATAAAGCTGTATCTTTTTTAAATAAAAACGAAATTAACAACTTAATAAAGAGCAGCATTAATTTATCAGAACACCTAATAACATATTTTTCCAGCTGTGAAGTGAGAAGTACCATGCAATTTGTCTTAAGCAATTTACAGTCCATCAATTATTTGGAGTTTATTGATGTATAGGATTTGAGTTTTGAGAGCAGTGACAATTCATATTGCAGTCTTCTAGGTTAAGACATCGTGAAGTCTGGTAGGTAGGTACCATTGTATCTGACAAACATATACCTTCATCTTCAAGGTAGACAGCGACAGTAGTCTCCTCCAAAACATTTATATCCTCATATCAGACAACATGGTATCATAACCTAGAAGACCACAATGTGAAGTTTCTTCTTATTACAACTCTTACTCTGCATGCAGTTTGAACATTAAAACAAAATTGGTGGAATTCCAAACTATAATAAAGACAAGGCACCATTCTTATTATGGTCATTTGTTATATAAGTTCACTTTGTCAGAGTTAACATTTATATACCGTTCTGCAGCTGGAAGCAAGACACAAAACAAGGAAAGCATGTAAGCGGTTGCACTACAATCTTGGCAGAGAAAGCACAGGAATTGCTTACATATTTCACCATCATCTGTTATGCTGCCCATACGGCCACGCCGGGGCACAAGGATTTGCCCTGAAAACCAAGATTGCCACAGAATCCATTCAAATATCAGCAAATGCACAACGAGCTCTAGCCTGCAGTATTATGGGAGACAGACAGATATGCAACAAGACCAAACCAAAAGCAAACACCACTTGTTTCTTAACACTTCAAGTAATTCAGGAATATGGGTACATTTAAATAGAGTTTTAACTAGATTTTAACATAATTACTGGATTTTTGGACCTCTTCATCATCCAATGTTCTAGAAAATAGAAAATACAACATTTCAGAAACTGGATCTGTTTCCATCTTCTGGTGAGATGGGGAAGACACCTATTCAGTTGGGCCCCTTAGAAAGAGCTAATCTCTATCACTGGAGATTAGTTTTTTCTATGGGGCCCAACTGAGTAGGTGTCTTCCCCCCCCCTCCCACCTCACCTGAGGACATAAACAGATCCATTTTCCGAAATGTCATGTTTTCTATTTTCAAACATACCAGACTATGGAAAAAGTCCAAAAATCCAGTAAATCTGTGTGTTGTACACCATCATCAGAACCCTTTTGAATTTACTAAATTTTAACATCTTACATATTGACGTTTATGTAGTAAAAATGTCTCTTATTTGCACATAATATTCACTATAAATTACACATGATTAACATGGATGAAATCAGAACTGACACAAGCCTGCTACCCCAGGCAACAAGATATGCAACAACAACCCCGCCTCCGGTCAAAGGTTAAAACTGATCAATTTTCTCAAAACTCTGTGAAACAACATGAAACTTCCAAACATTGTGACAAACCCCATAATTGGTGTTGTAACCTTCAAAGCAGTTTTATTTATGTTGTTGTATAACATGTTTAGATTACCACAAATTAATGGCAAAGTTATGAGCAAGAGCAACCAATATTCATTGTAATTTTAAAAAAAGGTGCAAAAACATTGTACATACTTTTTCATGCATGGCTGACCTTGACTACGAGGGTAAGTCAATAAGTAAGTTACAAATGTACATAGAACTTAAACAAATAAGAGTACTGATATGAAAAATGTTTTCATTTCTCAACCTGTGCATTCAGGTACTTGTCCCATCATTTCACAAGCCCCTGAAAACCAGCAGCATAGAATTCTTTGGGCTGCTGTCGGAAACAGGCGGTGACATCCCTTTCTACAGCTTCATCATCAGGAAAATGTTCAGCCAAAATATAATGTTTAAGAGGGCCGAACAAATGGAAGTCACTTGGAGCAAGGTCGGGGCTATATGGAGGATGCTCGAGGACTTCCCACTTGAAATTTTGCAGCATCTCATTTGTCTTGTTGGCAGCATTGGGGACGCGCATTGTCATGCAAGAGCATCCCAAAGAATTGTATGCCGCTGGTTTTCATGGGCTCATGAGATGATGGGACAAGTGCCTCAATGTACAGGGAGATTATGTTGAGAAATAAAAGCATTTTTCAAATCAGTACTCTTATTTGTTTAAGTTCTATATCCATTTGTAACTTACTTATTGACTTACCTATGTACATTAGCATGAAACAAAACTGATTCTTGCACCATAGACCACTGTTTGTTACTGAGTACCGGACAATGAAATCCGGCCAGCCCATAATATGCTTACCACTATTTTCCTGAAGATACCACCTATGCAGCTTGATTTAGGGATACGGTATCTATAAATTAATAAAATAAAAAATGTAGAGATGTTTTCAAGAAAATCTCCATTCTGTGTTTTAGTGCCATCTGAAGAGCCCCAATTTTTGGAACTTATATGGTCAGTTTCCCCAGGCATCAACCCAAGATGGATGAATTCCTGAATATCGAATATGAACAAAATCTGACCAACCAATCAGGCACTAGCGAGACATACATACATACATCCAGTAGATAGATCTCAAAAGCCCTTCCATTCAGGGTAGGAGCTACCTCAAAAATATTGGTACCTACCTATAAAACTACATGGCATCACATCCTGGAATGCAGTAATCTTAATATTCACCTCAGTGAGAACCTAAGTCCCCCACAGAGAAGACCTGAACCTAGCATCTCAGGAATAAAAGTCAGGCGTGTTGTTATGTGAACCAACTACTTAGCACCTGTTGCCACACCTTTCATCAAAGAACGACATTTCTGCGGGCGGCTCTTTGCATGCATTTCTTTTTAATGCATGTATTAATCTGGGGGCACGCGGTAGTGTAGTTGGTTGAGGCGCTATGCTACAAGCCGGAAGGTCGCGGGATCGAATCCAGATGAGGTGGATTTTTCAATTTACCTAACCCTTCCAGCCGCATTTTGGTCCTGGGGTCGAATCAGCCTCTAACAGAAATGAGTACCAAGAATCTTCCTGAGAGGTATTGGGTGGCTGGTGCGTAAGGCTGATAACACCGCCATCTGTGAGCCGATTGTCTAGAAAATGTTGGAGCCTCAACGGCTCACAACCCCATGGGCCTTCACGGCCTGTTACAGGGATAGCTTTACATTTACCTTTACCGTACAGTTCGCTTGCAGACTAAAACCACGGAGTTTGTAGTTCTTTTGTTTGCATGTGTTAATTTGAAAAGTGCAGCCCAACGTTTCGGAAGAACGTATCGCCTCCTTCTTCAGGATGGAACGGTAAGCCAAGCAAGAAACCAGCAGAAGCAGGCGACAAGATGAGCTCAGCTCCAAACTAGACGGCATTAGACTCACAGGACCATCTCATTCATAGTAACCGCCGTGAGAACCCCAAATCCACTCACACAATTCAGCCGGCGAGCTAGCAGCTGAAGTAGTACCAGCCGTAACCAGCAGTCAGAGTATGATGTTAATGTGAGATGGTCGCCAGCCTGCGAGGACGTGAGCCCGGAAGCAGAGGAACGTTTCCTGTTGGAAGCCGCTACCAAGCAACGTGACTGTGTGATAATGATTTGTAAGGTGTAGTAACGAGTTGTAGAAGTGTACATTAAATCCGACTGCCAATCCAGACCCCGTCTACAGTCACTCAACACGTGACAATACGATTCGAGGTTAAATGATTTCTGAATCTGATACATCGTTAATTAACTTACATACAAATTAGTCTAGAGTTATAAAGAGCTGGAAATACAGTTAATTCATCCATCCATTCCTTCATTCTGCGCATTTCTAGACATTTCTCCGAGTTCACTCCATCCTCAGAAGCGGTTGCCAGGTTTCCAGAACTCCCAACTACGAGTATCTCATACCTTATCTGATTGCACATGTGTTCGAGACCGGGTATATAGAAAATATCTGCGCATAACAAAGATGAAGTAACAGGAGAACACAAAGAGGCGCGTCATACTTTTCACTCCTCAGCAAATAAAATCAAGGTTGAGGTAGGCGGTGCATATAGCACGAACTGGAGGGGCCAGAAATGCATACAAAATTGTAGCCGGGAAACCTGAAGACCTAGGCGTAGATGGGATAGTATTATTAAAAAAAATAAGTTCCCGGCAGAACTAATATAATTTTTATGATAGGACACAGAAAACGACGCGGTCCAACAATTCTCTTATTGCAGTGTGCGTATTCGATGCCGCGGCGTAGTTTTTACAGAGCCGTTGCCTAGCAAAGATAGGGGGGATATACATACAGTCACACAGATTGATGGGCGGGATTTATGAAGTACGCCGCTGAGATGGTCTCAGGTACGATATACATAACCGAGTTTCAGAGATTGGTCCAGCCATTCAAACGTTGATAGAGAGGATACACAGACACACAGCGAGCTGTCATATGCCTACTTTTATTTTTTCAAAATGAGGAAAAGTGGGTCAAATATAAATCTTAAAATAATGTGAGTGTTGATTGAATTCATCTGATTCAGAAGAGGGACCAGTGGCGGGTAAACACAGTAATGAACCTGCGGGTTCGATAAATGACAATTAATTCCTTGATCTGCTGAGTAACGGTTAGTTTCTCAAGATGGAGTCTGCCTCATGGAGCTGGTGAAGTAAATATGCACTGGAACATGTAAGTGCAATGGGCACAGAAAACCATGATAAAGTTACTTACTTACCCAGGCAGCTGAGCCCTTCTTGAGGAATTGCAAATTCTGTAGGTACTCAAAAATTTTCCAGCATTTTATGGAAGCCGAAGGTTCATTACCGTGTTCACAAGAGCCCTCCACTGGTCCCTATTCTGAACCAGAACAATCCAATCCATACCATCCTATCTCTCTGAGATCCATTTTAATATTATCCACCCACCTATGCCTTGGTCTTCCTAGTGGTCTCTTTCATTCTGGCTTTCCCACCAATATCCAACGTGAATTCCTCTCCTCCCCCATTCGTGTTACATGCCCTGCCCACCCCATCCCCTTGACTTGATCATTCTAATTATACTTGGAGAAGGGTACAAGTTATGAAGCGCCTCATTATGCAATTTATGATAAAGTTACGGCCAGATATTACGAGATGGGCCCAGATCTGTGTAGAATCAAGCAGTAATAGTATTGTCACATGTGTAGGCGGGAGTACAAGTTTAGATTGGACTGTCTGCCAATACGTCTGTTACCGGCTGGTGGACTTTCCAAACGACCCGAATTTAAATAACTCGAAGTGGCATCATATTCTAAATTTTCTTCTCGGACATAGTCTTGAGTTCTTTGCGGCCCGGGTTCGATCCCGGGTCTGGTCAAGTGGGATTTGTGGTGAACAAAATGGCCCTGGGGCAGGTTTTCTCCAAGTACTTCAGTTTCTCCTGCCAATCCTCATTCCACCAATTGCTCTACAGTCACCCTCACCTATCATCTGGGGCTGGTACAATAGGCCAGAAGTGGCCGCAGTACAAGGGACTTAGTCCCACCCCACTATCAATAAAAAATAGTCTTGAGTTTCCGAAAGGGAAAAAAGAGGCAGAACGCCGAAAAATTATATCCTCTTGGATATAATGCCGGTGTAGTCCTCTGAAAGTTGTTCGACGTTTCGACACTCTTCCGAAACGTCGGTTGAATTTTAAGAGCCTATACAACCTCTGTGGTCTAGTGGTCAGAGTTACTGGCTACAGATCCTGAGGTCCCGGGTTCG